GAAGATCGTTGTCAACTCCTGGATCTTGAAACACTAGAACCACAAACGAAGTGACAGACGACTAACTGGCGAAGAAATCCATTAAAATAATGTGGTTCACTGTAATAGAATTTTCTTGGAAGCTTGTGCCATCATCCACCAGATGGGTTAGTTTTTTTGTTTTGATTTGAACAAAGTTGATTTTGTGTATAATGATCATTTGACAGGTTTGAGCCTCGTGCGTATTAAAGGGTGGAACGGTCAAAATTGGTTCGTCGACTAAAATTTGGCGAATTTTTTTAAATCGTGCATTTAAAAAACGTGAACGCCCCTTATTTTGTAGGCCTGTGCGTACGGAATGTTGCCTCTATTTTGTTTTTGTCGTTTTCCATTCAGTTGTCAAAATGGCGTCGAACCAAGAGGAACAGCGTATCACAATTTTGCTCGCACATAAGCAAAATCCAAATTATTCCCACGCCGATTTATTGCGTCAGAAATTTGATTGCATTATAATGAACAATGAAACATACGTCAAGGCGAATTTCAAGCAGCTCCCAGGTCAAGAGTTAACACGGCTACCGGAAAAGGAAAGGTTCAAGATAAGTTTAAGCAGAAAAAGTTGTCAAAGATCTCGAAAAAAAATCTTGCTTTGGCAGGCGATTTGCACATGTGGGATGAAAAGCGAAATTTTCGAGATAACTGGCATTACCAACCAAGATATTTATGGAAAGAAGTGGTTGCAAAAACGATTTTTGAAGAAACACAATTGTTCCGTGCTGTTTTGGCCTAGGAACGGTATTGCGCCCACAACGTGCAAGTGCAACCTCCAAACTCGCCGCAGCTGCACCCAATTGAAAAATTTTGGGCAATCGTTAAGCGGAACTTCAAGAAAACTCAGAAAGCAGTTGGAAATGAGAAACAGTTCAAAGCAAATTGACCTTCAGCATCAAATAAGGTTGATACAACAGCGGTACAAAATCTGATGGAAAGTGTGAAACGTAAAGCCCGACAGTTCTCATTTGGAAAATCGGAAGCCCAATCAAATAATTTTCCTGTATTTTGTAGTCATTGAACTTCAAAAGGAAATGCAGCTTGATCATCCAATAACAAAATTAGTATGCACTTACTTAATCATGATTGACCAATTTTTGACCGTTCCACCCTTTACGGATATAGAGGACTGAATTTAACATGAAGAGCTCAACACCACTTGGTACTGATGAAGTCTGCAAGTAGTAGACGAAATACGCGTATCTGTCAAAAGATAAGCAATTATAATGGAATTTAAAGGAAATAAACCAACCCACTCAAAGCTCTTCATAAAGGGATTCAGTTAAGAGGTTCGACAAATTTAAAAGAATTGGTTAAAATTTGATAAAAAAAATGCAATTTTGAAGCTTATTTGGAAGATACCTTGAGTTAGTAGTAAGTTTTCTGGCAAATGTTGGGGGTTCGTAAGCATTCCTGACATTGCTGAAAATTATGACAGCATCAGATTGCGGGGTTCCTAGTGTGTAGTAGGATGCTTTGTTGATTGTTCACTAACTCTTGATTGCTTGTAATACTTATGAATATTTTAGGTGGACTAAAAGGCGAACTAAGAGGTGGACGCCTGAGTTTTTCCACATTTATATCGCTGTGAAGCAACTGTAAACTCTAGAGGGAATTTATATCTGTAACTGAAACCAGTTCGATTTTGTTTGCTAACCAGGTTAAAATGTCATATTTAATTATTTTTGATTTTTTGATTTTTTTTGATTTTGCGAGACAGAAGGGGGTCTTATGAAGGCCAGATCTCAAGTCTCAAGGCCAAATTCCAGAACTTGAGTGGAACATGGTTCTCACGTATAATGTCTAAAATGAACCACATGCCCCAACCAACCCCTAGAACGGCTCCCATACACTCTCCATGCTGAATCTTGAGTCCCCCCTTTTCCCATATCATTACATGCAAAATAATAACCCGATGCAGATCAATTGAATATGCCTAATTGAATTAGTTGCAATGAAAGTGTTAACAGTAATGACAGTATAATATAGTAATTTATTAAAATGAATATTTACCTGTTAATAATGATCGAGGTTGGTGAAGAGTATGGGAAGTTGTTAGTAGATTTTACCATCACATAGTTAGTCGAATCCTTGGAAACCATCATCCTCGTCTTCAGAGAAACCTCTGAAATCCAGGATGTTCAGTTGCTCATCGCTACTTGAATCGCTGAGAGTAACTTCCGAGTCTTCGTATTCTGATTCCACCATTTCAGTGAACAATCTTGTCGTGGCTGATTTGAACTCACTTCTGTTATTAGCCACCTCTTGCCAATAATCCACCGATCGACCGCTTCTTTCTACATCCTGCCTTGCGCTGGTTTTCCAAGTGAAGCAGGGTCTTCCAACTTTTTTCTTCTCCGGGCTTTCCTGATAATCCCCTGAGGTGCGCTTCTAACGACGTATGTATGTATGTATGTAAGTAGCCACCATCCTAGCTTGGGTCTTGCCCTGCATGCGGCTCCACTCAACAGCAAGATCAAATTCCGTCATCATTCTGAATTCAACATACTGCTGTATGAAGGGCCAAAAAGGGTTGGACGGACCCGTAAGCAGAGGCACTTACGCGAAACCCGCGGGAATAAGAGAATCTCCTTCCAACAATATGATCCAACAAAATGAATAACGAAATTCGCAATGCATGTTAAGCTTTCCACGGGATGATTTGTTTAAGAAGAGCGCGTCAAATTCATTGCAACTGTTGGAGTGAAATGTAACTATCTAAAATGACAGTACACATTCCCTCCTAGACTCCGGTTGGCACTCCACTCCATTGTCCAGTTACAACTTCAATGATGCCCTGATGCTCCCTCCCGTCCCAGTATTTATTGTAATTTACATTATGAATTTATATATAATCATGTAATATATAATGTATATATAATGTACGTGCAAGCTATGGGAGCATTTTGGCTGCGCGGGTGTTGATCAAAGGATCAAGCAAGCGGATCGCCGATACCATTGCAAGATATGTTGCTCCAAGCTAGGAGCAATTAGCAAGCAGCTACCGCTTCCCGCAGCAGATCGCCCTATTCGAAGCACACGGGCTAGTTCGAAAAGGAGCCAACAAGATCCGACAACGGCGGCAAGTGTTACGTCGACCGTTCGTGCAGCAATTCTGGAGGCCCAGCTGAAGAATGCGGAAGAAGAACTACTACGACGGGAACACGATTTGATGGAGCAAGCCGAAATAAAGAAGAGGGAACTGGAAGAATCGGAACGCCAGCTGGAGGAGAAGAAAAAGTTAGCAGAAGAAGAAAGAAGTCTACGTGAAAGAAAATTGAAGGAGGAAAAGGAATTAAAGGCCATGCAGTCGCAGTTGAGGAAGGAATCCATGGAAAAGCGGCAGGAAATCATTCGGCAAGCAGCTTTGAATAGCAGTAGAGGTGGGTCCATTCCGGAGTCTTTCCAAAAGGTATCGGACTGGCTGGAAGAGCACACGGGTGCTGGAGGATTAGAGGGAAATCCAGTGGAAGACAATAACGTCAATCCCCACTCTAACAAGTTTCCTATTTACCTAGCACAGCAAATTGGGGGACGAAATCCGTTGATAAGTGGAAATTCATCTCGACGACCAGCAGCTTTACCCCCTCAACCAATAACCCATTCAACTCCACTTCACTCTGGTGAATCACCAATTCCTGCACCTCAAGAACATCCGAATCGGAGCCCGGTTGGTTTCAACCTGAACGATCAAAGACCCAGACAGGTAGCTGATGGTAACCAAAGGTCGATTTCGAATCCTGTCGTGCTTACACAGCAACACATTGCTGCACGGCAAGTACTGGGCAAAGAGTTGCCAGTATTTAGCGGTAATCCTGAAGATTGGCCTATATTTATAAGCAGTTTCGACCAGTCCACGATCGCTTGTGGATATACGGATGCGGAGAACCTCATCCGCCTTCAGAGGTGTCTCCGTGGTCGCGCTCTAGAAACGGTCAAGAGTCGTTTACTCCTACCAACAGGGGTTCGGCAAGTGATACAAACCCTGCGGACGCTCTATGGTCGACCAGAACTTCTCATTCGTTCGCTGATCGATAAGATTCATCAAGTGCCACCACCAAGGCACGACCGATTGGGCACATTAATTGACTTCGGCATTTCTGTGCAGAATCTCGTGGACCATCTCATTGGGGCTGATCAAAAAGACCACCTATCGAATCCAGTCTTGATGCGAGAATTAGTGGAAAAGCTCCCGGGATCAATACGACTAGACTGGGTTGCCTTCAAAACCCGTTCTCAAACAGCTAACCTGGAAACATTCGGCAATTTTATGTCCGGGCTAGTGAACGCAGCGAGTGAAGTCACTTTCGATCTGCCAGGATCCAGCAGTACTTCCAGGGTAGAAAAGCGGAAGCCGGAACGGAAAGAGCTGGGATCTATCCATGCACATACTTCTGGGTCAACCGATCCACTACCGGTAGGTAATTCCACTACAATTTCAAAACAACCGGCCAAACCTTGTGTCTCATGTGGCCGTGAGGGCCATCGAGTGGCGGGTTGTCCACAGTTCAAGGCTGCTAACTGTGACGAGCGGTGGAAATTAGTCGACCAAAAGGGGCTCTGCAGAACGTGTCTCAACAGTCATGGTAAGTGGCCATGTAGATCGTGGCGAGGCTGCGAAATCGAGGGATGTCGCAAAAAGCATCACACACTCCTCCACTCGTCCTCTCCTCCTGGAAATGTGATCGTTTCTGCAAGTCACATGTCGGTGAATTTTCCTGGCCTCTTTTCCGTATGGTGCCAGTAGTTCTCTTTGGAAAGCATGGTCCACGGGTGGTGCTGGCCTTTATCGACGAAGGTTCTTCATTTACACTGTTGGAAGACTCTGTTGCCGACGAGTTAGGTATCTCGGGACCTACGGAAGCACATACTCTTCAATGGACTGGCAACGTGAAGAGGATGGAACCACAATCAAAGGTGGTGCAAGTTAATATTTCCGGGAAAGGTAGTTCAACCAAATACAAGTTAGGTCATGCCAGAACCGTGAGCAGTTTACTCCTGCCGTCTCAAACGCTGAGGTACCGCGAATTGGCTAGACGATTTCCCCATCTGCGTGGCCTCCCTGTAGAAGAATACGAACTTGCTCAACCAAAGTTGCTGATCGGGCTGGACAACCTTCACCTATGTGTTCCGCTCAAAATTAGGGAAGGGGGCCCGAATGATCCAATCGCTGCCAAGTGTCGTTTGGGATGGAGTATATACGGGAGCATACCGTTCCATACACGTACAGAAGCTGTTGTTAACTTTCACGTCGCAGCGTTGCCTGATCATGATCAAGAGTTGAATGAACAGATGCGCGATTACTTCACTATGGAGAATGCTGGGGTTTCTGCTCCGTGCAACAAACTCGAGTCCGAAGAGGATAAGCGGGCAATCCAAATCCTGCAAGAATCAACACGCCGCACGGGAGAAGTATCTCGTTTTGAGACGGGGTTGTTGTGGAAGTTTGACGATCCTGACTTCCCTGACAGTTATCCGATGGCAGTTCGCCGTCTGGAGTCATTAGAACGGAAATTTGAAGCGAATCCATGTTTGGCGGAGCAAGTACGCAACCAGATAGCTGACTACGAGCGCAAAGGCTATGCGCACAAGGCCTCTCTTACGGAGCTGACGTCCATACCGGCAAACCGGGTGTGGTACCTACCTCTAGGAGTCGTAACCAGTCTGAAGAAACCTGGCAAGATCAGATTAATCTGGGATGCAGCAGCAAAAATAGGTGAAGATTCGTTCAACTCCAAACTTCTGAAAGGACCGGACCTGTTAACGCCACTTCCGAAGGTTCTATGCCAATTCCGGCAGTTTCCAGTGGCAGTGTCTGGAGATCTGATGGAGATGTTCCACCAATTAGGAATCCGGTATCCGGACTGCTTATCTCAGCGATTTGTGTTCCGCGATAGACCTTCCGACTACCCGCAAGTCTATATCATGGACGTGGCCACGTTTGGATCGACTTGTTCTCCAGCGTCGGCACAATATGTGAAGAATCTGAATGCCCAAGAATTCTCCAACAAATTTCCCCGTGCTGCTGAAGCCATAATCAATAAGCACTACGTCGACGATTATCTAGATAGCTTTCGAACAGTCCAAGAAGCGATAGATGTGGTGAATGAGGTGAAGATGGTGCATTCGATGGGAGGATTCACGCTACGACACTTCCTATCCAATGAAGTGGATGTTCTGCGTGGGATCGGTGAAGTTGCAGCAGATGAAAGCAAGAATTTGTTACTGGAGAGAGGAGGATATGTCGAATCAGTGCTTGGGATGCAATGGTTGCCAGAAGACGATGTTTTCACCTATTCCTTCGTCAGACATGTCCCTACGAAGCGCGAAGTAGTTAAAGTGGTGATGACCTTGTTCGATCCACTAGGACTTATTTCGTTTTTCCTCGTTCATGGCAAAATCCTGATTCAGGATATTTGGGCCAGAGGTACAGATTGGGACGTTACCATTCCCAACGACCTGTACGAACGCTGGCGTACCTGGACGAGCCTTTTTCCGACGCTCGATCTGCTTCGTATTCCGAGATGTTACTTCCGGTCAGCGCTTCCGGAAAATGTTGATGGCCTGGAGATTCATATGTTCTGCGATGCCAGCGAAGCAGCGTTCTCATGTGCCGCTTACTTTCGCGCAGAAATAGATGGAGAAATACAAGTGGCGTTCAGCGGTTCCAAAACAAAGGTCGCTCCACTCAAAACCCTTTCCATTCCTCGACTTGAACTAAACGCCGCCGTGCTTGGGACCCGTCTGTTGGAGACTCTTCAGAACCATCATAGCATACCGGTGTCTCGCAGGTTTCTCTGGAGCGATTCGAGTACCGTATTGTCATGGATTCGTTCCGACCATCGCCGGTACCATAAGTTCGTAGCCTTCCGTATCGGAGAAATCTTGATGTCTACAAATCCGTCGGAGTGGAGATGGGTTCCCACCAAACTTAACGTTGCCGATCAAGCAACGAAATGGAACAACGGACCATTGCTTTCGTTAGAGAATCCCTGGTTTCGAGGACCGAGTTTCCTTTTCGAACCAGAGAAATTATGGCCAAAACAGCATCCTTCAACGCCGACGAAAGAAGAACTTCGCCCTGCTACCACGCTCTTGAGTCACCTCACACCGCAGGTGGGTATCCCGCTTGAAGTTCCTCGATTCAACTCATGGACAAAGCTTCAACGAACCGTTGCCTTTGTTTTGCGCTACGTGGACAACTGTTGCCGTAAGAAACACCAAGAATGTCTGCGGCTAGATGTCCTCACCCAAGAGGAGCTAAAACGGGCCGAAGAACTTCTGTGGAAGATCGCTCAGAAGGAAACATTTGCGGAAGAAATTTTTATCCTCGCCGAGTCACAGGGTCCTCCTGAGAAACGACATCGTATTGTGCACAAATCCAGCCCAATTTACAAGACATGGCCCTTTATGGATGATCATGGGATCCTGAGGATGCGTGGCAGAATAGGTGCCGCTCCTTATGTCCCAACCGAAGCTAAGTTTCCAACGATTTTGTCGAAAAACCACCCAATAACATTCCTAATCGTAGATTGGTTCCATCGCCGCTTCAACCATGCCAATCAAGAGACCATCGTCAACGAGATCCGCCAACGATTCGAGATTTCTAAGCTTAGATCGCTGGTGGAGAAAGTCTCAAAAAATTGCGTCTGGTGTCGTGTTTCCAAAGCTGCTCCAAGACCTCCAGCAATGGCCCCACTACCAAAGATACGCCTCACTTCATTCGTTCGACCCTTTTCATTCGTCGGACTTGACTACTTTGGGCCAGTCTACGTTAGAGTCGGTCGAAGTCTCGCTAAACGATGGATTGCCCTGTTCACTTGCCTGACGGTAAGAGCAGTGCACATGGAGGTGGTGCATTCTCTGAGCACGGAATCCTGCATCATGGCAGTGCGTCGCTTCGTGTCTCGCCGGGGTCCGCCCAGAGAATTCTATTCTGACAATGGGACGTGCTTCCAAGGTGCAAGTCGGGAGCTCAAAGCAGAAATCGAGAATCGAAATGAAGCCCTAGCGCTTACTTTCACGAGCGCGGAAACCAGCTGGAAATTCATCCCACCTGCTGCGCCCCATATGGGAGGCGTATGGGAACGAATAGTTCGGTCGGTTAAGGTGGCAACTGGGGCAGTTTTGGATGCCGCTCGTAAGCCCGATGACGAAGCTCTGGAGACCGTGATCCTAGAAGCCGAGGCGATGATCAATAGTAGGCCGTTCACTTTCGTACCATTGGAATCAGCTGATCAGGAGGCTTTGACTCCCAATCATTTCTTGTTGGGCAGTTCTACTGGGGTCAAAATTAACCCCACGGCTCCCGTAGATAGCCGTACTATACTTAGGAGCAACTGGAAACTGGCGCAGTTCATCAGTGAAGAATTCTGGCGGCGATGGGTGAAAGAATACTTGCCCGTAATCACTCGCAGGTGCAAATGGTTTGAGGGAGAGAAGGATCTTGAAGTCGGTGACTTAGTGTTGGTGGTCAGTGGATCCTTAAGGAACCAATGGCTGAGAGGACGCATCGAGCAAGTGTTCCCTGGCAAGGACGGGAGAGTACGTCAAGCGCTCGTACGCACTGCAACGGGATTTCTTCGACGACCAGCTGTGAAACTAGCTGTTTTGGACGTCATGAACAGTGGTAAACCTGGTTCAACTGCTCCTGGAACTCCAGAAGATCACCAAGGTTTACGGGCGGGGGAATGTAACGACGGACCCCCCGTCGCAGCGGCGCCGTGCGCACAGAACGCTGAATGAACCATCGCACTTCACTTCACATATCTCGATGACAGCGCACGTCCACGATTGTCATCGCTGTAGAGTATGGGAAAAAAAAACAATCGGTAGAGAAAACGATTTACAACGAGAACAACAGTAATTCTAAAATAATTTATTATTTGTACTTAAAAGTATTTGACTTTAAACGAGTGCATTTAAATGCGATACCTATATTATCCTACAACACTAAAAGTAAGTTTGTTTGCTTAAAATATAGCTTAAAATTAGTGAACTAATAATATCTTAACCTAGATTCAGCTTAAAAACTACAACGTACGAATCCGACGACTCACTACTTGAACTATTGTCGGTTTACCAAAATTGTAAGTTGAAATGGGAGCAGTTTGTAGGTTGGACTAAAATAAATATCCTTTTCTAGCTTGAAGCTAACAGCACAACAAAAACAGCGTTTGCTCTCGGGAGTTGGAAAACCCGTCAAGTCTTCAACCGTACAGCATCATTGTATGTTTTGAAAATATAATACTAAAGTATTGAATCAATAGACCGAAAATCGAGGTTATTTGGACATGAGACATTATATTTAAAAGGATACTACCAAACCGACCATCAAACGCACTGCCCACAAAAGCAGACACGTCCCCTCGAAAATGCAATCGAGAAATGTACAAGAACAATCCTCAACTGGAACGTACTCACCAAATCAATATATCCGGGAGCGCATTCCCGATGTCGTCGAACGGCAAAAAAAAGGGAACTCGGTGAGCAAATTTGTGATACGGAATTTTCACTGAAAACAACCACGAATTTCACCACATCCAACTGCGAAACACGTTCAGAAGCACTTTTGGTACACTTTCGATATCAATTTCTTTTGATTTATTTTTTTATTTGTTGCTAAAATAGTTGCAAGTGTACCAACATCAACACCAATCGTGCCAAACTTTACACGCACCTTGCAGCGCGTACATAAACTGGAATTAAAATTTTCACTCGCGATGCCACAAATTTCTGGTCCGGAAGAAACAATCAAACCACGCAGCGCCACACCTTCTGATGCTTGTTATTTTGCAAACATCATGAATCATGTTTTCTTTCTCGATTCTAAGACTTCTCGGAAAGCGAGAAAACTACCACTCACACACGTATAACCGTCCGGGAGGCAGAGTGCCAGCGCTAATCCGGCAAATGCAGCCGAAAACTATGAAGGCGAACGCACGCACAAAACAGAGAACAAACACAACCTTATCCAAAGGGGTTCCGTGCGCGACTGCTGTGTTCTATAAAATATAATCAATATACAAAATGACTACGCTTCGAACATGGACACCACTGGAGTAAGCCTGGATATCACATGACGATTACCTGACTGCCTTCGACAACGACCACCGCTATTCACACCATGATCCGCCAACCACGCTAAGAACCAAGACAGGAACTATAATTTGTTGTTGTTGTTGTTGTTTATTATTGACATTTTACATCCTGCGGATGCATTCATGTCAGTTCAATTGATTTTTGTGTAAACAGTGTGTGGGTGTGTTCAGAGTGATGTGAGGGTGAGTGTTAGTGTTTACGATACAATTCAAAATTCACTTAGCTTTCTTATTGTTTGCTCGTTTCCTGGTTCATCGTCTGCATGCTCATCTCATGGTTTACACTTCTTCTCTATAAATATCTTCTTTACTTCTTCTATATATATATTCACCATCTTCATTCTTCATGATCTGCCATATATCTTTTCCACATTATTTTTCGATTTCTCCGTTCCTTCCTTGCGCTTCATATTTATCTTCATTCTTCTGCATCTTCATAATCATTCATGTCTTCTGCAGTACTTTCGTTTTCTGCTTCATCTTCATCCTTTTTCACTTTATCTTCTTCGATTTCCATTCAGCATCTTCTTCATGAACTCATTTGCTTCCAACATTCATCGGTAACATTCTTCCACTGCATCTTCTTCCATTTCCTGTCCGACATCTTCTTCCATTCAGACTTCATTTTTCTTCTGCATCGCTTGCTTGTTCTTCATCCTCCGCTTCGTTTTCTTCCTATATCCTGCATTTTCCTTTCCATTCTATTTTCGCCTTTCAAAGCTTCCGATAAAGTTTGGTTTCATGCAGAAACTTCAGCAACCGCTTCTCATAATCATCGTCGTTGCGTAACGCCGTAAAAAGGCTTGTGGAATCGATTCCGTATTTCGTCCTGGCCGCTTCAAATTTTCTGCAGTGCAGAATAATGTGACGAACGTCAACAACGGTCCCACAGCATTCACATGCTGGCGGAGCTGTTTTCTTCAGCAAAAATTCATGCGTAACCCTAGTATGACCAATGCGCAGACGGGTGAGTATGCGTTGATCGGCAGAGCTGTACTGATCGATCCACTTCTTCGTTTCCCTTTTGACCTCCTTCAGCTTCACATCTGTCAATTGTGCCCAACGTGCTTCCCATAGCTGACGAAAGACTTGGTTCATGTTCTTGATGGAATCAATTCTTGGTACGGCAACGTTGATTGGTGGACTGTTTCGTGCTTCACTGGCTAGACGGTCTGCTTCTTCGTTACCGCGAATTCCGGCATGACCAGGGATCCAACAAAGGTGGATCGGCCGTCCACGTAGTAAGCGCTCGATTTCCTGGATCCACGGATGCTGCGATCTACCACTCTCTATGGCCGAAAGACAGCTGGCCGAATCAGACAGAATTATGACACATTCGGTTGATGCTCTTGCAGCGATGACGGCCGACTTGATTGCAAAGGCCTCCGCCGAAAAAACGCTACATTGTGACGGAAGACCTATTGCTTGCTGAATGCTGCTACTAAATACACCTGCTACAACTATGTTCTCGCATTTAGAACCATCCGTATAAATAGCCAAAGCACGGCTAAACCGGTTAGCCAACAACTCCTGCACGATGGGACGCACTGTATTCGGGGGGTCCCCAGCTTTCACCTTCCGTTTCACATCCCAAACAATATGCGGCTTGGGTTCATACCACTCTCGGTTGGCTAGATGTGTTCGTACAGCGATGTTTGGAAGCTCTACATCAATCATCGCCAGGCGATCGGACGCTCGTTCCACAACTGGAAGATCGATATTCCTGGAATCCTTCTTTATCAAACGAATTGCAGCACGAATTATGGCTTGCATAATCATTAAATCGAATGGCAAAGTGCCTGCTTCAGCCATAATCGCTGGAATCGGACTGGTGACGTAGGCCCCTGAGGCGAACCGGACCATCCGGTTGTAGATGGGTGCAAGAGTCTGCACCACCGAATCCTTCGCTCTACTGACGAGCCCGATACCGTAGATAAGTTGCGACGTGACGATTGCTGATCCGATACCCAACAGAGAATCGCGTTGCCCTCGCGGAAGTTTAGCCCCGATCATCTTCAAGATCCGCAGTCTAGAGTCGCACGTGTTTTTGACTACCTTGCAATGGTGTTTGAAGGACAGCGACGGTACAGCTGTACGGTCGATGAATATATCGTTGCTGGGTTCTCGACGGGCGTTGGGACTGCCGTAGAAAATGTTTGATTTTGTCGCGGAAATTGTGAAGCCGACGCTTTTCGCCCATTTGTCGACAGCTTTCACGGCAGCCTGTAGATCTCTATACAGAGGACGCTCCTTACTCCTCCGTACCACCAGCAAAATATCGTCCGCATAGAGAAGCACGGCAACAGTATGCGGCACCACTCTGAAAATCGGCTGCATCGCTATAAGGAATAACGTGACAGACAACACTGATCCTTGGGGGACTCCGTTCTCCAATGGCATTTCATCCGATAAATGTTCTTCCACGTTCACCCGGAAAGATCTGTCGGTGAGGAAACTGTTCAGTACGTTGAACATGCGCCCACCCATCTGCCACTTACGCAGAGTACGCAAGATACCGTACCGCCAAGTGGTGTCGTACGCTTTCGACAAATCAAGCGATGCAATCAAGCAGTGTTCGTCCCGATTTGGCAATGACCTATCCAACTCCGCCAAGTATGTGTCGACGCCTCTTCCAGCTCTAAAGGCGTGCTGCCTCTTATCCAGTCGTCCATTCGACTCCAACTCAGTCGTCAATCTGCGGTTCACGATACGTTCGAACACCTTTGCGATGCAGTTGGTCAAAGTGATAGGTCGGAAAGCAGCAGGTCCAGATTCAGAACAGTTTGGCTTCGGAATTGGCACTATTATTCCGGTTCGCCAGCTGATAGGGTAAACGCCACTACGCCAGATTCTGTTTAGAAGCTGCAACAGCGCGATTTTGACGGATACAGGCAGACGTCGGATCATCGGATACCCTACCGAGTCAGGACCTGTAGAGACACTACGTCCTTTGTCGAGTGCCCACAGAAGCTCATCCAGGGTGAAGTCCGCGTTATATATCTCGTCGTTATCCGGAAGAAAATCCACGCGATCCCGTTCCGCTCTTTCCTTCGCTGTTTGAAACAGTTGGGGATAGCTTGAGGTCGCTGATCTCTCACAGTAGTGCTCGGTCAGTTCTTCTGCTATTTCTTCCACTTTCTCCGTGTAGCCATCGGGTCGCTTGATAACCGCCTTGCTGTATTGTCGTTTGCCTCTCAGGGTGTTCATCGTCCGCCACATTTCTGCCGTTGTGCTGCTAGGTGATATTTTTCCGACAAAGTCCTTCCACGAATGTTCCTTAGCTTCCTTCACTGCCTTCTTAGCCACTGCCTTCGCTTCCTGGAACTGCTTCAAAACATCCGTTGTGTCTGATCCTGCTATTCTGCTGCGCTTCAGTGCTCTCAGAAGTTTTCGACGCTGCTTAATCGTCGTTTTCACTTCCGGGCACCACCATGGTACCGATTTGGAACCAACTCGTCCTGATGTTCGAGGAATGCTAGCGGTTGCTGCTGATAATATCCGATCTACGAACTCATCAACGCCAATCTCGTCATCCGGTTTGATGCTGCTGGAAGTCAGTCGTTCGAACAATGTCCAATCTGCTTGGTCGTAGAGCCATCTTCTTCGCTTCGTGGCGATCTGTGAGAATTCAGGTGAAGAGACGGTGATTGGAAAGTGGTCGCTGGTGTGGGTATCCGGAAGTGTTCGCCAGATAAATCTGGGAGCTAGAACCTCTGAACAGATCGAAAGATCTATGGCAGAAAACGAACCGTTTGCTGGATCCACCCGCGTGTGTGATCCGTCATTCAGGATTATCAGATGCTCCGTCAGTGTCTTTTCAGCGATGTAGCGGCCAAGCGCATTCGATGCCGTAGAACCCCAGGCGGGATGGTGCGCATTGAAGTCGCCAAGTACCAAAATTGGCGGGGGCAGAAGCTCCAAGAAATCATTTAGTTCTGTTTGGCACTGTTGCTGGGAGTTCGGAGATATGTAGATCGACACTACCGTCATTGGAGTCGGAAGATGGATGCGAACTGCAATGGCTTGAATATCACAATTGATATCGATGCGCTCGAATGGAACCCCTTCACGGATGGCAAGGCCCACTCCTTGCTGCCAGTATCGACGACTACCGGTTTGAAGAAGCAGGGTGTAGTTCTTGCCGACAAAGTCTGGCGCGACCACACGATTATCCACTTTCGTCTCTTGCAGCGCTATAACGGACGGTTCATGCTGGCTGATGAGCAATTTGAGCTCGCTGATGTTGGCACGTAGACCACGTATGTTCCACTGGAGGGCAATACATTTCGTGGGATGACTACTGTTGACTGTTGCTGATGACGAAGATGATGCTGACGGTCTACGCGTTGGACTTGACATATCGGCCGGATTCCAGGAGGAAACAGAGGGTGCAAGACACTCGTGACTGGTCCCACTCTCGTCCCCCTGAACATCCACTTCCCTCCTGGGAAGGGGGGAGGTTACTTCACGCTCTCCCTCCCCACACCGATTTCGGAATACTGTCTGTTGCAGTAATGCTGACGGTGGAGATGAATCTCGACTTTGCTGTTGACGACGAACTTCACCGGCGGAAAAATTCCTGAACCGGTTACTAGGAATAATAGTGCCGGTGGCACTCACAATGTTGTGGTAGCTAGTGTTGGCTGACGGTGGATTTTCGATTGGCACTACATGCCGACGGCTGCTTTCGTTGGAAAATGGCCATATGGGTGTATTGGATGTAAGCGAGTGATATCGAGGTGGTATTATGGTAGGTAGGTAAGTGGTATGTTGCTCTAATGTTTCATAATCGACCGCAGAGGGGGATTCTCCATCAACGGGTTGGAGTAAGACGTCCCGGATGGATCCTCCAGCCTGCTGCGCTCTCTCCTGTGAGAGTGAAGGGGGTACTACACTTTCCCTCCCTTCAAGTCGATCGATGTCGTTGTCCGTTTCGCTTGTCCGGTAAGTATTGCTGGTCGGTAAACGTTTGGAGGAATGAATCTTATCGAAGATGCTGACTAGGGGCCGTCTGTTCGATCTCATCCTCGTCGACGCTTATCGTTTCCTGGTCGGATGTCGGTGTTTTTTCAACGGGCTTCTTCAGCGGTGGGCTTTGTCGGCCGGGTGAGGTGTTGTTGCTCCTGTCATGCCTTTTCTTCTTCTTGTTGTGTTTAGATTCCGTTGTCGCTGGCGATCTACTTCTGAGATGCATCGACGGTGTGCCTATCTGCGATTCTCCGGATTTTCTCATGAGTTGAGAATGCAGGTTCGAATCGATTGCTTGGTTCGATTGACTTTCAGAAGGATGGATCGGTTTACTCGGCTGAGCTAGCGGGGTTTGTTGAACTTGCGGTGTTCGAATCAGTTTAATGTGTCCCATTAATTTGTCGATCTTTTCGTCCTTCTTCTTCATCACTTCAAGAAGTTGAGCAATTTGGGCGTCTTTCTCCTCCATTTTCTTCTCCAGTTCCTCCAATTTTTTCCGGTCGGCAATCTGCTGGGCTGCAGCTGCGGCGTAACTTCCTGTCCCTGTTTCGACTCGCTTGCGTGCTTCAGGGTACGTCAGATTATGATCCACTTTTAGACGGATCACTTCCACTTCCTTCTTATAAACCGGGCATTGACAGTTGTTCGGACGATGAGGTCCACCACAATTGATGCAGTGGGCAGCTGCTGCACACTGTTCATCCTCCGCCAGTTCATGATCGGCAGAACAGTTAAGGCAACGTTTCGGACCAGGACATCGGACACGGGGATGGCCGTATCGGACACAACCATAGCACAAGAGAGGAAGCAGCCCTAATAGTTTTCCTAAAAGATGCTGGGCTGTTCTATAAAATATAATCAATATATACAAAATGACTACGCTTCGAACATGGACACCACTGGAGTAAGCCTGGATATCACATGACGATTACCTGACTGCCTTCGACAACGACCACCGCCATTCACACCATGATCCGCCAACCACGCTAAGAACCAAGACAGGAACTATAATGAACTCTCGATTAACATTTCAAATGGTCCTATCTGCTTTGATCGATTCTCTTAATCGACTTTCTCTTTTCATAACCACTGCTATGCAAACAGATTTCGCGTTAATTCTACCACATAGTTTGATAAAGGAGGTTCTTATCTAGCGTCCAAAACGTCAAATACAACAGGGAAAGGTTTTGCAGCTGAGTTATTAACGAAAGAGAAAGTCGATGAAGAGAATCGATCAAAGCAGATAGGACCAATTGAAATGTTCATCGAGAACTCTGTTTAAAAATACTCTGTACTAAGGGGACTCCCTCTTGGAGCTCCACCAACCACTAGGAGAACCCCTTCTGGGTTCTCCAAACTCTCAACTATGTAATTAGGGAAGCCCCTTCTGGGGCTCACGGAGATGGACCAGCCTGCGGCTGGAAATCTCCTAAATAGGGATAATAATAATAATAATAAAATAGTGAATACCGATAAATCCCGATTTTTAAAACATTTGATTCCGATAAGCTTGAAAACAATCTGGCAACGCTGGCGCCGGTGCATCGGTGTAGATACTCATGTAATAGATGTGCGGATGCCAGCTAATGTATCCAAACGGACTGTGAAAAACGAATGGAAATTCTCGCGTACCTTCTCAAATAGACCAATCTACATTGATCGATTCGTTAATAACTTGGTTGCATTCCTATTTCAGGCTTTTCCGATCGAACCGTATTTTCCATACAAAACAAAAATGCATATTTAAGCATATTCATGGAATAAGTTTTATTTGACACCAAAAATCGTCCCTATCTAGTCAATAAACTTGGACGCCCCCTGCTTAGCCTGCCTCCACTCCAGTGGGTGTTTGTTCTTTTTATGTGAGTACAAATTCCCATTCGAGTTCATCTCCATTCCGCAAAATTCGCACGAGTACAGCTTCTGACCCATGTGGCCAGCGCGGTGTTCCTGCAAGTTTAGATTTCGCTTGAACCGTTTCCCGCAGATTTCGCACTTGAATTTTTCCTCCACGTGCACTCGATTCTTGTGCATGCCCAAACCTTTCTCGTTCGGATAGACCTTGTGACAAATATCGCAGGTGACCTCCTTGGCCTGGTGTTGATGCATCATGTGTTTTCTGAGATGCTGTTTCCTGCTTATCCAAGTGTGGCAGATCTCGCATTGCGCTCCATCCTCCCGTTTCAGTTCCTTGTGTATCAGTTTGTGCGAATCAACAGCACTGCGGGATTTGAAATCCTTACCGCAAACGTCGCACATGAACTTCCTCTCGCCGCTGTGCATCCTCGCTATGTGCGACTTCAGAAGATACATGTTCGAAATGCTCTTCATGCAAATCGGACACTCCACCTGGTCGTGCAACCGACGGTGTGTCCGGAGCTTTTGTTCCGTTTGGAATGACCGATTGCATTTCTCGCATTTGAATTGTTTCTCTTCGCTGCTGATGTGCTTGGCGCTGTAATGAACATTCAGAGCAGTCTTGTCCGGGAAACCTCTGTCACATTCGTCGCATTTGAACGGCTTCAAATGAGTGTTGATGTGGAAAATCATTTTGTGTTTGAGAGAAAAACTTTTGTTGCAACATTGCAGCACTGCTTGTGTGTTGTGAACCTTCTTTGCATGCGACTTCAGATGTTTCAAGGTTTCAAATGACTCTGCACACGTATCGCACTTCAGGGATAAAAACTCCTTGATTAGACGATCCTCGTCTGTAATTTCCACAGATTCCTCATCTTCGATCGACAAAGACGATGCTGGCTCTTCCTCGGCCTCACTCTTCTCTGCAGTTAGAGGGTCTTCAAACATCTCGACTTCCACGTGGATCGTTTCGGGTGTGTCTATCTCTGGCAGTTCTTCCTTTTTTACAGCACAACCGAGCTCCACATACGGCGATTCCACAAATACCTCACACTTGATCTGAGTGGGTGGAAGTGATAGCTGAAGCTGTTCCTGGTTGCATCGAACTGCTTCCATGAACGTGTAAAACTGGTTGATCCTTTCGGAACACTCCGAGCATACACTCGAAGTAAGTTGGTCACTGTCCTCGAACTAAAGCATAGAACAATTTGTCTTAAATGTTGGTTGATTCACTAACTAATGCATGGAATTGCTTACCATAAAGTTGGAAACTGCAGTCAATCTGGCCCGGAATGTCCCATCGTTCATGGATGTTACCGATGGTTTTTCGGATTCCAGGCAAAGCCGACACATTTGGATGGTTTGATCCATGTCTACAATTTAAGGAATTTCAAAATCCACCCCGAGATAAAACTTTATTATTGGCGAGATGGAAGCATTCGTGGTCTTAGCTTATAAAGCCTGTCGGAAAGACAAATCCAGAAAAAATACTTTTGACTGTTTAATAACAGTGATGTGCTCAGCCGTACACGCTCGTCTGATTTTACTCTAAAGTTAGTAACTTTTACTCAGTTTCGTATTTGTATGCAAAATGTCAAAAACTGACCAACATTAATTTAGCACAGTGAGTAACATTTACTCTAATTAAATAAATATGAAACTTAACTGTTTTGAGTAAAATCAAATGAAATAAACGTTCGAGAAATTTTAAAGTTCGGAGCTGAAAGTAAACCCTAATAAAAATGACCATAAAAGAGAGCTTAACGACGTGTTCGGGTATCATCCAAACCATTTGTGGGATAAATTACCCATCGTGGATACAGTTCGTTTATGGTATTTGTTTATTAGGGAATCCCACAAAGTGTTCAAACAAAGAATGAAAGATTCTGCGTTCAGTTAAACTGGTCTGGACAGTTTCACGAATTGACCTCTTTTTTCGAATGTTTCGGATCTTTCGGAGGACGATCCACTGCACAATGCACAGTAGTCCAGAATGCAGATTTAGGTGGAATGATATGTTTTGAGCCTGAAATTGAAACTTTAGACTAAAAGTTTCTTCTGCAAACATGTTCCTTATAGTTAGGCCCTTATTTTTATGACAATGAATTCTAGGGTGGTTCTTATTATCAATCACATCAAAAATCTAACTTTTTTGTTTGAATAAATTAAGGTATACATTCTTTGACAAAGTTATAGCCGAGCTAATTTATAGCAACTATGTATAAAAAAACCTTTTTTTATCTCTTAAAATGACTGATTTAGAGCTATTTTCTTGAATTGAGTTAGGTGTCTCTAAAAAAAACGAGTTAGTTGTTTGAGCATAAATATGCGTCATAATAAGTTCTAAAAGTATGTATCTAGAACAAAGTTTTTACGGGAAACAAACGTATAAAAAGATTTTTAAAGAAAACCAATTTTCTAGGGGCCACCCTAACCTGCTCGTTTAAAATAATCATAACTCATGAACCATAAGAGATAGACATTTGATGTCTTGAGCAAAGTTGCTTCAAATTGATTGTTCTAGATTTTTTTAAAACAGCGCATTGGTCCATCTCAAATAATAAAAAAAAGTTTGTATCGTTCCATCTATGCTCTTCTGAGATCACACACTCCAAAGCGTTGTCAGAGCTCACACGAAAGTCCATCACTTTGCCACGCAACTCTCCAACGTCGTGCCAATTCATCCGGATATCCGTATTCGTACGAGTCAAGTCATTCACCCATATTCTTGTTTTCGTTCGAACCATGCAAAAAAAATGTTTGTATGGTTCGAACGGTTCGAGTGAAAACAAGAATATGGGTGATTGACTGTCCTGCTTTAGAACAAGGCAAAGTTTCTCAAAAATGACTCCTTTTTCCAGATCAACAGAAAAACGCAGCAGCAATGGTTTATTTTTCGCAACACAATATTAATATACTATATACCTAAACGTTCGTAATGTATCAAATTGACGCCCAAACTCCACCTCTAATCAGGTTTAGGATACGAAAATATCGTTTCGCCTTTCTAGTATTTCAGCAACGGCTGACTTGCTCAATATAGATAATCCTACCTCTTTCAGCGTGTTCCTCACTGCGTCCTCCGTTTGCTCCGTGTTGTTTGAACCGAGAGTTTCATGTAGCAACATTGCCGACCCCAACGGCATTGTCAGCAATGTGCAAGCGTCGTTTATTCTGTGCGAAACCAAGTTCGTAAAGTTCACAATCCTGAGCATATGTTATCCGAGCTTACGTACCTCTTGAACAGCAAACTCGGCTTCCGGGCATACTGGCCCAACAGGGCAAACAGATTCCTCGTCATATCGAACTGAAACTGCAACGCTCCGCCGGTGGAAAACTTCGTATTCATCACCATCCCATCGATGAACCACTCGTCCAGATGCAGAGCGATCAACCGAATCACAATCGAGAATACATTCGCCGACAGTTCTGCCTCCAGGCTGTGCAAATGGTTCACCAACACCTGGAACATCTCGCTGGCGCTGGCCGAAAGCATGAACGTTTCCTTCGTGTCCAGCTGGTTCATGGTGGGCCAAACATCATGCCGATAGGAGCGGGATTTTGCCTTCACGTCGTCCACCACCCGAGACGCGAGATCCTTCACCAAAGCCCTCTGCCAATGGTCCAACTCTTCAATCGTTTTGTCAAACACGGAACTTATTTCATCGGCATGCGGACCATACAGAGCGGCATGCAAGTGCAGATAATGCACGTTTTCTCCCCACTCCCGAAGGACTGACGTGATATAATTGATGGCGTTCAGGATTTTGGTCGAACTGACACAATCCGGACCGGGACTGTTATGCAGCTGAACCAACCGACGGCGGAAGTTGTCGATCAGCTCAAGCTGCAACTCGAGAAACTGCAACTGCTGACCAGGTTGCGGGAGGGAACAGTACCGCTCCCGGATTGCATCCAACAGCCTAATGAACTGGTCAGCACATCTTGGGATTTTCATATCGTCCAAATTGGCTGGATCAAGGAATCTCCAAGGATCCTCGCTCTTCAACATTGCGTCCATTTTGTCGGTGGTAAACTTCTCTTCGATTGCCATCCACTTGACCAGATACTTGGCCTGAATCAGGACCGACACGGCACTTGAGAAACTCGACGGATATCCGAGGGTAGATTTCAATTCCTGCTCGAATGAGAGCACTTCATCGATCAAGTGGCCAAACAAGGCCTCATCTTGGCAGATGCTATCGATGTCTTCGACCAGTTTCTCAATGGCCAGCTGAACCAATCCTCGAATGAATTCCAGCTGAAATTGGTAACAAATTGCTGTATTACCCAAATCCACGAAAAACGACCATACCTACCCTAACGTTATGATTCACAGCCCCTGCCTTGATGGCGGGCGTTTGAAAGTTTTGCCCTACAAACACATGGTTCTCCTTGGCCCACGACAGAATCTGCGTAAAGTACCATTCCGGTTTATCCAGTCGGTTCGTTTGTTTGTTACCGGAAAAGTGGAACGCAAATCTCAATCGGAACGGCTTCAGCAGCAACTCATTCGGGGCCATAATCGGAGGACAAATTATCGACGGCGTAAGTTTAACACTCAGCAAATTCTGATCGCCAGGGACCTTCACTAGGAAGAGATACTCCGCCAGAATGGACAACTTGTTCAGGTTCTCCTTGGAAGGGTTGAACACTTCCAGCGATTGGTTCAAGTTGGGCCACTTAATTGCTTTCAGTATTGCCTCAAATTCCTTCGAAAATTTCTCCTTCAAAATATCGTGCCAATAGAAAGCGGTGTTCCGTGCGTACATCTTCAGATGGGGACAATCCAACCCAGCCAACCTGTCCAGAATGCTGTTGGAATTCCCACTCAAGGCCACATACAAACTGATCGTTTTATTCTCGTCCTTCCCGTTGATGGAAACCGTCAGCTCCTGACTAATGTTCTGAACGTCCAGTAAAATCATGTAATATTCCTTCATGTTCTCCAGATTGGATATTTTCTTCAGATGCCCATCGATTCGTTCCAGCACTTCCTTGTGCCGTTCGATCCTCTGCAAGAGCTTTTCCTCGAAAGCCTCCAGGTTATCGGACGCTTCCTCCAGTTCCGTGTGCTTCCACGAGCACGACTGGATCGCATTCTTCAGTTCCGGCATGCAGCTTTCATCGGACAAGTCGATCCTGCCGGCCAGACGTTCCAAGTCGGTCTGGAAGGTCTGCAGTAGCGCTTCGTTCTTTTTCAGCGCTCCGAAGTCCGCGCCCAGCTCCTTGTTAAGGCGGGCCACCACCCTGTCCTCGATCGTCATCGTGTACCGCCGCTTGACTTGGAAACACACAATGCACAATGAAAACACGATTTTTTTCACGAAAACTAGCGAAAAAGTACGGACTATTTGCGATTCATTTCAATTTTTTCTGCGATAAACACACATCCTCATCATCGTCATCATCATCACCACCCACCAACCTGCATGTCGTCGGTCGTTGTCGTCATCGATTTGTTGACAGTTCGCGTGATGCATCGACACGGAGATGAAAAACTATCCAAATTTGAGTAAATCGCATAATATATTATAGTAGTTTTCATCAAGGTGACTACAAATAGGTGTTCTGATGTGTCAAATTCATGATTCAGCCATGTTGGATTTTTGTATGGGACAGCGACCGAGTTTGTTTACAATTTGCTCTAAAACCGCACTTTTCCCCCCCGCGACCTCCTCGCCTATATAGTGACAAAGCTGTATCACCATTTATATACCCACCATGGTTTTCATTAGAAATACTCAGAGGGAGAGATGGGCGGAGAGAATGTTTTGAGCCAAATGTACTGCCAAAATCTGAGCTAATCGAACATTCCCATTAGAATTTGTCGATTTCTTATTCTTACTAGATTAAATTTGAGAGCATTGCAATCGAACGGAAATTCAATCACCTTTATGTTTCGTGTGCTTCTCAAATTCAACTAGTTTTTGGAATCAAAAACAATATTCTATCGCTATTGAATTGGTTACCCTAATAAAAAATAACCATAAACGAACGATAACCCAAATCATTGAACTATTCCAATTCCACAAATGGTTTGGATGATACCCAGAACACGTCGTTAAGCAAATTAACCATACAATTTTTATTAGGGTAATTAATGGCACCAAGAGTATTTCTAGTTTCCATTAACACCAGCAAAAAAAAAAAACAGTTACTTACTCTTTAGTAAATATATTCTACCCAAAATTAAGTTTAATTTACGTAAATTTGAGAATATGCAATTTACTCGAAGGGTTTCTACCAGCGTTAATTACCGGTTAGTGCCAGTCAGATTACCGAAAATTACTCTTATTACTTTTCAGTTAATTAAAATTACTTTATTACTTTCCAATTATTTTTATAACTCTCGATTATCGAAATTACTACGATTACTTGAATAATTTTAAGAATTACTTTGGAATTACCAAGGGGTAGGTCACTCCGCACACCAATATTGGGTCAACATTTTTCTCAGTGTGCCGCAAGTGTACCGCTGGTTTGCCGATTGTGCCGGCATAAGCCATTTTACGAGACGTTTTGATGACAGTTCCTGGTGGGCCGCTCGTGGCATTGTTATTGTTTACGTTTGATATTTTTGTTTTGATTCTCTACACGGCCAACAAAAGTAACTCACGAGTGTATGGGCTTGCCACGGATTTACCCAAAAGTAAGCAAGTTAAACACACTCCGTGAGTCACTTTTGATGACCGTGTAGTTGCGAATGAAGATATTCGGCCCGCCAGTAAATGTCAAAATTAGTAAACAGAATAAAATCAGCTGACTCTACCTGTCTCGTAAAATGCCTTATTGCCGAGCATAGAGCAAGCTGCGATTTACCAAAAAATACGAAAAGTATGGTATACTTGGCAACCCAGTATTTCTGACAGCTTGAATGTTTAGGCTTGCAATCACAACGGCCCCAAAATCTAGATAAAGCTGGAATTAGGGCGTAACAGATTTTGTAAACAATGACTTCTTTTGATGATTTATAGAAAGTTAAGGCTTGCCAACGCAAATCCACAACACCATCGGGTAGGGGAAGAGTTGCCCTACCCGACGTTTATGTTGGTTTGCGTGGGCGTGCCTTGAGTTCCTAGAAATCATCGATAGAAGTCATTGTTACGCCCTAATTCCAGCTCTATCTAGAAATGTCGAATACCGTGCTAGATAAGGATTTCTTTTACCGACGAATAAAACGCCTCTACACCAGCTGGAAGGAACCAGAGTTTTCCCATGATGATTCGCTGCAGGTGGATTGCATTCAGACGGCGGTCGGCGTAGACGAGGAAACCATCTACAGCAAATCAACCTCGCTGAAGATCTGACTGCTGGTATAGGAGCTGATCGATACGATTACAGTGCTGTGCGAAAAGTCAATCTTTTTCCTGACCAGCAAGAAGAAGGTCGATTTCCTGGAGCAGATCCAATCGCGTACATCATGCCCTCCAAGGAGGACTCCGAGGTTATCACCATCAGACGGTAGATGTATTCAACAAGTACCTCAAGGATCACGTCACGGAGATTATGGATGCTGATAAGAAAGTAAAACATGCCAAACTATCGGCGGGTGACGGACAAAAGGTACGTCTCTGGTGTGGATACCAACATGTGCTACCCAGTCGGGTGGCAATTACAGCTTGAAGTTCAGTGCATTCAGCGACAAGAACTATCTGCACTTTGGATCTATCATCTGTGCTCTGGGTGCGCGTTACAAGTCCAGCTACTCCAATGTCGTCCGAACCTTGCTGGTCAATCCAACGGAAACGATTCAGGAGTACTACACTTTACTGCTCAATCTGGAAGGGGAACTGCTGAAGGTGAAGGTGAAGGCGCAAGAAGCTCTCGGAGGTTTTCGACGTCGGAATGGTTTATGCCAAGAAAAAGGATCTCGAACTAAGACGTTTGGTTTGGTTGGTGAAAATTAGTTCGGTATTGTTCAAATGAATTTGGTTTGGTAGCCGACCAATTGACCAGACTACTTTTCACGGTACAATCACAAGGAATGTTTACTACTTCCACTCAACCTAATTAACTTTTATTTTTATTACAAAAATCGAAAACCATTTATTTCATCTCGTATAAGATGACACTTATCCGAAAATAAAGCTACTCAAATTTAAACCGAAATTTACTTCAAATTTACATACGTCGCATCGGTGATAAGGCCAGAGTTGTTATCCTTCACCGCCATCAAAGCATAACCATCGTTGTCTCAGAAGTTGGAACAGGAGTTCTTGATTAGCCAGGAATCTTCTCCTTTGAGTTTTCCGTATCCAACCGCCACCATTGCATGATTCAATCCATCTAATTTGCTCTTGCATTCCGGTTCGTAGTACACTCCATTTGCGTAGTAGCTGAAATACTTGTGAACGGCATCGATAGCAATCGACAGCTCTCTTAAATACACAGTCAAACAGCACGTAATGTTGTGAACAACTTCAATAACAGCAGTCCAGCAGTGCTCCCATTTTATTTAATGAACAATACAATGCCTACGAGATTGTGCCGAAGGTGTGCCGATGGATGTGCCCAAGCTGTGCCGAATCTACTTGGGGCACACTGTACTGAGTGACTTACCCCTTGGGAATTACTCAATTCAGGCATAACATTTGATAACGGCACAAAAGCATTTGTAAACAAACTTTCTAAGACCCTTTACACGAGAAAAAAAAGTACGTCCACGCAAACCAATAACATCATCGGATAGGGGCAACTATCACCTTTCCGAAAGTGGTATTGGTTTGCGTGGGTGTACTTTGGTTCGCGTGTAAAGGGCCTTAGAAAGTTTGTTTACAAATGCTTTTGTGCCGTTATCAAATGTTATGCCTGAATTATTCAATGATTAACAATGTTTCCAACGATGGAATTGTTAGAGAAATACGACGACATCCAAGCTCGATTAACACTCCGAATACGATGCCTCCGAAAAACGTGTAAAGGCAAGTTTGCAATGTCATAACTTAGTCATTTCTTAATGAATTTCAAAAATTGTGGTACCTTTAGAATTCCTAGGGTTTGTAGATGATTTTGATTGCAAAAAGATTGGAAACAGAGTCGTCTACTTTTTTAAAAAGCGAAAAGAGTTGTTACACGTTTTTTTTGAAAAGTATGTTTGTAAGGTTTTGCAAGTGGCGCAAGATCTGTAATTTAGATTAATGGGCACAAATGTTCACAACTAGCCAGAAAACAGTCATGGTTCCTATATATGGATCCTAGAGACAACGGAACGGTCATCAAAAAATCCGGAACATCCGTATAAGTGGTCAATCCCTGAACCTGATCCTAGAGCTCTGCGGTTTTTTTGAAAACATTTGAAACTGCGATATAAAAAAATATTTGGGGTTGTGACATAAAAATGTTCCTGGATGGCCATGAGACCGTCTTTCGGAAGATCCGAAACATCCGTAAAAGTGGACAATCCATGCAACTGATCTTAGAGCTCCACAGTTTTTGAAAAACACTAAGAACTGAGATGATAGAATGAATTTGGGGTGACATAAACATGGACCTTGATGGCCATGAGACCGTGCTCCGGAAGATTCGAAACATCCGTGAAAGTAGAAAATTCACGAAACTGATCCTAGAGCTCCGTGGTTTTCTTGAAAACGTTAGGAACTGTGATATTAGAATGAATTTGGGATCGTGACATAAACATGAACCCAAATGGCCATCGGACCGTCCTCCGGAAGATCCGAAAAATCCGTAAAAGTGGTCAAGCTCCGTGGTTTTCTTGAAAACGTTAGGAACTGTGATATTAGAATGAATTTGGGATCGTGAAATAATCAAGGACACTGATGGCCATGTCCTCCGAAAGATCCGAAAAAACCGGAAAAGTCAAGCTGAACATTGCATTAGGTTCTAAGTAACATTGATCGATTCTCTTCGTCGACTTTATCTTTCGTTAATAACTTGAGCACAGCACCGTTGCTTGATGTGTTTGTCAAATTAGATGCTAGATAAAAGCTTCTTTTATCGATCTGTGGGCTGAAAATACCTGGGATTGTATTTACATGGCCGAGTTGATGCAAAGAGAAAGTCGACGAACAGAATCTGTCAATGTTACTTAGGACCTAATGCAATGTTCAGCTTGACTTTTCCGGTTTTTTCGGATCTTTCGGAGGGGCCATCAGTGTCCTTGATTATGTCACGATCCCAAATTCATTCTAATATCACAGTTCCTAACGTTTTCAAGAAAACCACGGAGCTCTTGGATCAGTTTCGTGAATTTTCCACTTTCACGGATGTTTCAGATCTGCCGGAGGACGGTCTCATGGCCATCAAGGTACATGCTTATGTCACAACCCCATTTTTTTTTTAAATCACAGTTCCTAATGTTTTCAAAAAACTGCAGAGCTCTAGGATCAGGTTGATGGATTGACCACTTATACGGATGTTCTGGATTTTTTTAGGACCGTTCCGTTGTCTCTAGGATCGATATATAGGAACCATGTCTGTTTTCTGGCTAATTGTGAACATTTGTGCCCATTAATCTAAATTACAGATCTTGCGCCACTTGCAAAACCTTACAAACATACTTTTCAAAAAAAAGTGTAACAACTCTTTTCGCTTTTTAAAAAAGTAGACGACTCTATTTCCAATCTTTTTGCAATCAAAATCATCTATCATCTAGGAATTCTAAAGGTACCACAATTTTTGAAATTCAGTAAGAAATGGCTAAGTTATGACATTGCAAAATTGCCGTTACACGTTTTTCGGAGGCTTCGTAGTCGGCGTAAAGTTTTTTTACCCACCGTATCCGGAGTGTTAATAAAAATGAGCGTCACAGCAAAAACCAAAACTGGAATTATGGTAAACTCATATTTTAAACTGAGTTTAAAAAAAGGTTTCATTGAAAAATCGTAATTTGAAAGTTTTTCTTTAAATACTGTATTTCAATATAGCAAAACTCGTCTGTTGCTTTTGTTTTGATTTGAGTTTAAACATTATTTGAGCGCTCTGATGTCATGATGTCATCGAAACAATATTAAATATGGCGTGACTTTCTACCAGCGATTCCACTAAACTGAACCAACTAATTTTTTTTTTATGAAACGCACAAATGATGGCTACTTTTTTCGTGGTTCTAGAAGAAAAAATCTCAAAAATTTTATTTCAAAGTTCGAAAGGTAGTAAACGTCATTTTAACTGCTTGAATGAAGATGATTAATTGACTCACTACTTGACTACCCTAATAAAGATAACCATAAAAGAGAGCTTAACCAACAATCAATACGAAACTAACGATTTTAAATTGGCTCACCACTTTAGTAGCCTATTGGTCCCAAGCAAACGATTAACGTACCCTATTCTAGTCGAAATTTTAGTACTACGCAATGTTTGTTTTGATTCGCTATGAAAGTTTGACAGATAAAATGAGGGGTTATTGGTTTTTCCTATGTTTCGAGGGGTGATTCGACAAGCTTGGGACCGAAGATAGTACCAGAGGTGAGCCAAAAAGTTGAGCACGTTTCTTTGGGACCTACTTGTCTTCACCACAGTGTACTCAACAGATGGCGGTAATGTTTTAACGACGATGTTTTACAATGAGAAATATTTAATGATGTTATGTCTGTTTGTCTGTGGTTTAATCAACATTGAAAGTTATCTTGTTTGAATAAATTTTAATCATTTTTGATTCTATTTTAATCACTGTTTGATTAAAATTGAATTTTAATCATTTTTGATTATATATTAATATTCTAAAGAATAAAATTTAATACTGAAAAGATAAATTTTTATCACAAGTGATTATTTCGAATTTAATCATGCATGACTACTGCCGAACCCTAATAAAAATGTTATGGTTAATTTGCTTAACGACGTGTTCTGTGTATCATCCAAACCATTTGTGGAATAGTTCCATCATTTGGGTTATCGTTCGTTTATGGTAATTTTTTATTAGGGAAGTCATCATGGCTCGGACTCAATAATACCAACAATCAATACGAAACTAACGATTTTAAATTGGCTCACCACTTTAGTAGCCTATTGGTCCCAAGCAAACGATTAACGTACCCTATTCTAGTTGAAATTCTATTACTACACTATGTTTGTTTTGATTCGCTATGAAAGTTTGACAGATAACATCAGGGGTGTGTGGATTCATGCAGAACATGCAGGGGTGAGTGAAATAGCTTGGGACTGCTTGGGACCGTTGTTCTGGTACTGAGTGAGCCAAAAATAATAATGATTTTCTTCGGGACCCAGTGGTCTTAGAGTTACCTCTATGATAATACCTTGTACAGACAAACAAAGTTCACTGTTGTACTACCGTTGTACCATAGAGGTAACTCTAAGACCACTGGGTCCCGAAGAAAATCATTATTATTTTTGGCTCACTCAGTACCAGAACAACGGTCCCAAGCAGTCCCAAGCTATTTCACTCACCCCTGCATGTTCTGCATGAATCCACACACCCCTGATGTTATCTGTCAAACTTTCATAGCGAATCAAAACAAACATAGTGTAGTAATAGAATTTCAACTAGAATAGGGTACGTTAATCGTTTGCTTGGGACCAATAGGCTACTGAAGTGGTGAGCCAATTTAAAATCGTTAGTTTCGTATTGATTGTTGGTTGTACTGCTTTAAGCTAGTACCACAAATTGTACGTTTTGAGGTACTTGATTAAAGGAGTACAACGGTACTAATTTGTATGTCTGTCTGTGGTATAAGGTGAAGCGGGAATTTGCATACTTTTTAAGCTTTTTGATTTCAATTTTATTTGAGTGCACTTTTTGCGATTTGAGTAAACTGAACTTAAAATTGGGTTGATCTCATTAGTCGTTTATACGTTACGAGGGATTATACATTCTAGTACTTCATCCCAGCAAACATCGATTAACGTCAAAGAAGAAAATCAAGTATATCAAAACAAACTGCGTTTTTCGGCGCCTGTTAACCGCTTGTGGCCTACGTTTTCTACGAAGCAGTGTACGTTTTAAAGAATTTTCAGTGAAAACCGTATCAAACAGCCTAAAAAAACATGGATCAAGAGAAGCTGACACAACTCCCCATCAGCCGGATAAGAACGGTGATGAAAACATCGCCATCCATTGGCCATATCAATCAGGACGCTTTATTCCTGATGTGTCGGGCAGCTGTAAGTATCCCGGACGCCATTCGTCAGCTCTAATCGCTTTTAAAACATAAAAATGAATCTCCAGGAAATGTTCGTCGAGTACATCGCCAAAAATGCGCACAAGAAGGGAACAACAACGATGAACTACAAACAGCTGGCCGAGTACGTGGAGTCGAAAGACGCGCTGGACTTTCTGGTTCAGATCCTACCGAAGAAGATGACCGTCAGTCAGTACAAAAAGATCATGGAGAACAAGAAGAGTAAGGGCGAAGATGACAGCGATAGCGACGAGGACAGCAGCAGCGAGGAAGAGTCGGACGATTCGGAACCGTCGTCGTCTTCGGAAGAGGAGGGTGAGGAAGAGAAGAATGACGATGTGGACAGTGTAATCTCGATCAAGTCTTCCAGTTCGGACGAAAAGGAAAACTCCAAGAACATGAGCAACAAGAAGACACCGGTTAAGCATAAGACCGGGGATTCTCCGTAGGGTTGGTATTTTTCTCTAGATTAGTGTTTTGTCTTATTGCATTATGTTCTTCTATAAGCTGTATTAATAAACTGTTAGATTTAGTTATCTATTTAATTGAAGATGCTGTTATTTCAGTATGTAGTACCGTGACCAGCCCTAATTCCGCGCAGCGCCCAATACCGTGGATTTGACAATAAACTTGAATATTTTGCTATGCATGCAGATTTTTTTCTAAATTATTTTCGCAAACGGTAGGACACACAAGTACAAAACAAAATATGTATTGATAGCAGAAAATTGAAACGACTCCCAAAAAAAAAACCCTTACGCCGAGGATGTAGCTACAGGCTTCAGGTTAAAACGCAATGTTTCTTCGCTAAATTCAACGCTCGGAGTGGTTACCGCCGCGATTTCACTCGGCTCGATGCATTTTCGGCAGCAATCGAATCCATTCAATCTCCGAATACCCAGGGCGATCCGTTGGACAGCCCTTTCTCTCAAGCCGAATTGTGCTTCGCACTAGCCAGTGGAAGAGGAAAATTAGCTGATCCTGATGACGACGGATATCCATTCCTTCGTCACCTTCCACCCATCGGCAAAAAGATGCTGCTGCAAAATTACAACCGAGTTTGGACAGATAGAACCTTCCCCGCTCAGTGGCGACATAGTCATCTCTATTCCTAAGAAGTACTCGGTGCGAACGGAACCGAGCGGATACCGTCCCATCTGCAGCAAGGTCATGGAACGGATGGTCAATCGAAGAATAATGCAATTCATCCGAGACAACGACATTTGCATTTCGTACATGTTCTGGATGATGCCCTCGAAAATGGTCTCCACGTGAACTTGGTCACGAGAACACCTTTGCTTCTGTGCTATCTATAGCAGTAACTTAGTAGTAGGCTACGACTTTAGATACGTAAGCTCGGGTAGAATATATTATACATCTGGAAGAGTAATTCGTGTTTATTTACTACATACTCTGTAAATCTGATTCCGTGAAGTGAATTTAGAAGTTGGTTCCTGTTCCGGAGTACCACAGCTTCTATTCGCAACTTTCTCACGAACATAACTTTCGAGGCTCCGTGTTGGCGGCAACCCTTTTCCTCATCGCCATGAACGGAGTCTTCGAAGGCTTACCAAAAGGTGTCTTCATTTTTGGGTTTACGAATGACATCATCATTCTCGCCACTGGACATAGACCCATCCTGATCGGCAGGAAACTCCAAAGTGCATGCTTGGGCATCATCCTTCGGATTCGAACTATCGCCATCCAAGAGTCGATTCTCCCATCTGTGCTTAGGTAAACACCGAGCGAAAAGGAATTCCCCCAAAATCGGTGGAGAAGAAATACCTTTCGAGGCCACGATCCGCGTTATCGGAGTATATCTAGACCGTCACCTGAGTTTTCAGCGACCCGATAGAAAAGCAATGTCATCACCAGCAAGCACACCAACAACAACCGTAACGTTGACCTACGTATCACGAAGGCAATCATTTGTAGCAAACTTCTCTACGATGCCGAGCTACTGCGTAGATAATGTAACCGATAAAATCGCACCAAATTTCAACCGACCTTAGCCCTTGCACTCCTGCAGCAGTCACGTGTGTCGAAGTTGAAATCCTCTCCTCCAGTGTCTTGAAGAAGATGACCGGAGACGACGAGGATGTGTGTTCCTCCTCAAAGAGGCAAACAAGCTCCTTCAAGATTTCACCTACCAGAACCTCCCCCAGTGTCCAGGGTCCACTGGGTCGGAGACGAAGCGTGGAACTACTCTCCATCTAAGATCATATGGGCATTAAATAAACCAACTAAAGAAAATCTGAACCCCCAACGAGCTCATTAGAACAACGCTGAATGGCTGCGAGCTCAACTATACGGATGGTTCGAAAACAGCGAGCCCCAACCTAGATACTAGCAGAGGCCTTCTTAAGCCTACATTTGATCTTCTCGCCTAAGCCAGCTGCCATCTTCTCGACCGTTATGGAGTCCAGCTTAACCTGGAAGACTATCATTATCGATTCGGCCTGCTGAACTGCCTATAATCGCATATCGGTCTCATATGGATTTTCATCAATTTTTAGATAACAACGCTATTCACTATCAATTATTGGAATATAGGCACATACTTGTCCGCTAACTGGGCACACTGGGCGTTCTTTAACTGGGCTGCGTTTTTAGCGAAAGCGTTAAGCCTTTTAAAATTCGCGAGTATGAATGCTGTGAAAATAGCAATAACAAAGCTTGACACTGTTTCAATTCAATGCACGTGAACATGTTTAACGCCGACCAAACAATCCATTTAAGTTTCCCTCATTGTTTTTGACGTTTGACAAGCCAGCCCAGTTAGCGAACAAGTACTGTACTTCCATATGATGTGAAAAAACTACGGACTTTGATCATGAAAAAAGGGAAAACAGCATCAAGTCCATCAAGCAAAATAATCGCATATCAGACCCATCCTGAAATTCAATCGTCCATAGTTCACGTTCAAGTTCTGCTTTTCGAATTGCCTTATTTTTCGCTGATATTACAAAACATGCAAGCTTCATTGCAACTGAGGAAGCCCCTATTCCGCTCATCGCAGTCGAGTCCCTCCTGCCAGCGACCAGCAGTCGTACCAACAATCAATACGAAACTAACGATTTTAAATTGGCTCACCACTTTAGTAGCCTATTGGTCCCAAGCAAACGATTAACGTACCCTATTCTAGTTGAAATTCTATTACTACACTATGTTTGTTTTGATTCGCTATGAAAGTTTGACAGATAACATCAGGGGTGTGTGGATTCATGCAGAACATGCAGGGGTGAGTGAAATAGCTTGGGACTGCTTGGGACCGTTGTTCTGGTACTGAGTGAGCCAAAAATAATAATGATTTTCTTCGGGACCCAGTGGTCTTAGAGTTACCTCTATGGTCGTACCGGCCCTGCGTTTGAGATGGGAGAAGGGGACTTCCACATTCCTGTTATTGGCAAGTATGATCAACCGACGAATATATTATCGCCTGAAAGTATCTTGGTTTCCAGCGGCCTTACTCGAACATCCTTCCTCCGTCAAGTGACATCTACCAGCTCCCAAATGCAACTACACGCTGAACCTCCCATTGTTCCCGAACAGCGGAGGTTGGACATAACGATTTACTATCAGAACGTTGGATCACTGTTACGACATTTTAGTTTTGACCGAAACATGGCTCAATTATCGAACCACTTCAAACAATGTCTTTGGTGCTGGCTACGAAATATTTCGCTGCGATCGAAACACGAATAATAGTAGGAAAACTACTGGGGAAGGCGTCCTTATCGCAGTTAATTCCAAGCTGAAAGCAGAAGTTATCGAGGACGATTCCGAGGACGATTCCTGGAACATGGTTGAACAAGTGTGGCTGATCGTCATATGCTTCTCTGTGCAGTGTACATCCCTCCAGATCGAACCTGTGACTTGGAGCTTATTGACGCACATTGTCGGTCTGTCTTGGCCGCTTCAGGCAAAGCAGGCCCTTCCGACGAAGTTATTGTTCTTGGCGATTTTAACCAACCAGACTCCAACCCATAGTGGTTTCTTTTGTCCTGATCACGAGTGTTCATTTTTCCACGTAGGAACCATCCAGCTCCTGGACAGTTATAGCAACAATCAATAGGAAACTAACGATTTTAAATTGGCTCACTACTTGACTAGCCTATTGGTCCCAAGCAAATGATTAACGTATCCCATTCTAGTTGAAATTCTAGTACTACGCAATGTTTGTTTTGATCTAAGGCTCTGAACCATTTGGTGGATTATTTTAACTTTTGGTTAAAATTTGACAGATGAAAAGTTATCGATTAACCCTGCTATCCGAGCGTGGTTACTTCTGACAGACAAGAAGTTAAATTTTGACGACCGTGGCTCGAAAACCGGTCGATCGACAGCACGGGGATTTTCGAACATAAGAAATAACTTTCGAAATGTCACTTTTAACCACGAGTTCAATTTAACTCGGCAAATGGTTCACAGCCTAAGAGGGTTTTGATTCGCTATGAAAGTTTGACAGATAAAATGAGGGGTTATTGGCTTTTCCTATGTTTCGAGGGGTGAATCGATTAGCTTGGGACCGAAGAGAGTACCAGAGCTGAGCCAAAAAGTTGAGCACGTTATTTCGGGACCTTCTAGTCTTAGAGTTACCTCTATGGTTATAGTACCGCAATTCTGTCACAAATCAATGGCCTGTTGAATGAAAACATCTGCACCCTGGATCTCTGCTTTGTGAGTGCTCGTGATACAGCTCCTTTCCTCTCCACGGCACCGGAAGTGCATCATGCTTTAGTTATCGAGATCGAAAATAATATTGTCCATGATTTCACCAGCACTCCAAACGCTTTGTCATATGACTTCTGTAGAGCTGACCATCGCAATATCGTCCATGTGCTGTCTAACCTACATTGGGAGCATATTCTAGATCCTGTAGACGTCAACATTGCTGCACAAACCTTTTCTCGCGTCTTGGCATATGTCATTGACAGGCACGTTTCCAAAAAGATCATCCATATCGACTCTCGCGTCCCGAGGATGACGGGAAATCTTCGCTCGTTGAAAAGAACTAAGAAGTCTGCTCTCAGAAGATTTACTAAATTCCGCACACTGCCGCTGAAATGCTACTTTGTCAGGCTCAACCACGAGTACAAGCGGTTAAGTCGTCTCTGTTTTTAACGCTATCAGAGGAGAATTCAACGGCGGCTAAAATCACACCCTAAATCCTTCTGGAACTTCGTAAATGAGCAACGCAGCGAAGTCGGCTTACCCTCTCCCATGATTTTCAATGGTGAAACTGCTGGCAATCAACAAGACATTTGCAACCTGTTCTCAGCCAAATTTGCTAGCATGTTTGAAGACTAGCAACTCTCCGCTAATCTCATTACTTCCGCGGCCAGTAATGTTCATTTGGTCAACCAAACGCTTAGCGTCGTCGACGCCTTCCCTCAGCAAAAGACGACACGAACTGACCACTTTTTTGGACAACAATTTCAACGAGATTAACTATTTTTATTTTATTGACCCGATGGTGTTCCGTCGATTATTCTTAAAAAGAACATCATTTGTCTTTTAGATCCACTGCGCGCCGCATGTTCCAGCTCTCTCTTTCCAGTGGCATCTTTTCGTCTTGCTGGAAGACTGCGGATATGTTTCCTGTCCATCAAAAGGGAAGCAAACGCGACGTAAACAACTACCGGGGAATAATAACGTTGCTGACTGTAAGAATCGTCCTGGTCGTTGACGGCCGGGTGTTTTCTCACCTGTCGAGAGAAGGACCAAAATGTAAGAATCGTCCTGGTCGTTGACGGCCGGGTGTTTTCTCACTTGTCGAGAGAAGTTCGTGTCCAGGCTATTTGTTGGGGAAGGAATTTCAGTTTATTCGCCAGGGGTTCCCTCAGCAAAAGACGACACGAACTGACCACTTTTTTGGACAATAATTTCAACGAGATTAACTATTTTTATTTTATTGAGGAAAACTTCTTACAAACTTGGAGACAAGTCAACTAACTTTTTCACTCTTTTTTTCACACCCGCTTGCTTCGATGGTTATTTAGTTGCTATGGTTACGCTCAGTTGGCGGCGCGACGACTGCGATACCCGAGGAGAAAAGTTCGGACTGGCAGTGTCAGCAACATTCTCCGGGCCAGGAACCGAGCTGATTGCCTGGAGCAGCACAACCTTGTTTACAGGTCTTTTGTAGGTCGACTTTGATGTCCGCACTGCAACTGTTCTCACCTTTCCATCCGGTCCTTGGTAGATCTTCTCTACAACTCCTTTCGGCCAGCTTCCTCGGTGTAGCGATTCGTCCACTATCATCACTAGATCACCGACGTGATAATCGTGGTAATTCCTGCTGTCCGGCCACTTGCGACTTCTGATCAACTCCGGACGGAACGAGGCTATCCACCTGCGCCAGAAACGATCCGCGTAAATCTGAGAATGCTTATAGGCAGCACGACAGTTAAGATCTCGTTCATCAAAGTTATGGTCGAACTGGATTGAATTGTTTCGGCCAAGCAGCAACATGTTTGGAGTTATCGGTTCAGGGTCCAGGGGGTCATCCGGAACGTGTGTCAAAGGTCTGTTGTTTACGGTGTTCATTGCCTCGCATAAAGCAGTACGCAGCACCAAGTCCGTAGGGTGCCTATCCCGTAACATTGCACGAAGGGCAGTCTTCACAGAGCGTACTAAACGTTCCCAGCAACCTCCTAAATAAAGTGCACCAGGTAGAATAAACTTCCACTTAAAACTTCTGACGCTCAGCGAATCTTCAATCTGCCGCTGATCCAGAGTTCTCACCAGTTTCTTCAGTTCAGCATCTGCACCAGTAAAGTTGGTACCGTTGTCGGTCATGAAGCACTGTGGTAAGCCACGGATGGACATGAAGCAGCGGATGGCCATTATGCAGCTGCCCGTGTCTAAAGATGGCACGACTTCAAGGTGTACAGCTCTTGATGTCATACACGTGAACAATACTACCCACCTCTTTTCAACACGACGACCAACTTTTACAGACAACGGTCCAAAATAATCAATACCCGTACATGTAAACGGGAACACGAACGGGGTTGTTCTTTCCGGTGGTAGGTTTCCCATTAGCGGAACGGTCGGTTTTGCTCTAAGCTCACGACACTTGACACAGGACATCGTGTACTTCTTTACCTGTGAGCGAATCTTCAGGATACGGTGCCGTTCCTTGATATTGTTAACAACGGTCTCCATTCCTTGATGTGCGTTGGCGATATGGTACATACGAATCAGTAGAGTTGAAAACTGGTGGTTGTTAGGAAGAATCACAGGATTGTTCACTTCAAACGACTTTCCATCATCCTGCACACGACCTCGCATACGGATGATTCCGTTTTCCAGAAACGGCGAATATGTTTTCAAACGACTATTGCTTTTCACGAATCCGGTCTGCTTCAGACTGCGCAACTCTTCACAGAAAATTTGCGACTGTACCTTCCTGTACCAGACACTCTTAGCTTCATCCATGTCGTTCACGGAGATTGTCAAACATTTAGGCTTTTTACACTTTGGCAGTGCTAAAATCTTTCGCATTTTCAGGTAGTACGCAGTAGATCTAATCAAGCGATTGAAATCAGAGAACCTCTCAATATCGGGAAGGTCAACCAACTCAACTTCAACCACGGTACAACACATCGGATCCAAGGAAACATCAGCAATCACTTCGGTATGAAAATTTATCAACTCATACGAGGACATCTCTAGCGGTTCATTGTTCGGCCAATGGACACTATCCCGATACAGAAAGTTTGCACCTTTCAACCATTCCTGCATACAACCAAACTTGGAGGACTTCGTAGCCAAATCAGCTACGTTCAGCTGTGATGGAACCCAATGCCACAGATCATCTCCATGACCATTCTCCTTAATTTTCATGACACGAGAACCAACATACGCCGTGAGCTTCTGACTTGTCTTCAACCAACTCAAGCAGATTTTAGAATCGGTCCAGAAGTACTGCATATTCACTTCTATTTTTAGTTCGTCTTGAACTACCTTCATCATTTGACTTGCAAGAACACACCCTTGAAGTTCAAGTCGTGCTGACTGCTGTATCAAAACTTTTTGAATTGGTTGTCATAGGGTCCCTAAATGCGCATTGCAAGCAATATCTAAGCATAGATCAACACGGATTCATAACTGGGCGTTCCACAACTATACGAACCTGCTGTGCCTAACGTCTTACATCACAGACCGTTTGATTGCTCGGACCCAAACGGACGTTATTCACACAGATCTTACAGCAGCCTTCGATAAGCTGAACCATGAAACAGCGATCGCTAAGCTTGATAGGGTAGGAATCGGTGGAAATCTTTTGAGATGGTTTGGTTCGTACCTCACGGAGCGCCAACTGACAGTAACTTTGGGTACTTGTTGTTGACGTCATCATAACTTCACCTTGCTAATCATTTACCTTTGTTCCATCCCTTTGCTATGACTGGCAGCCCTGATGTCAGTCTCAAAACATGAGAAAAGAGAACCACAACCTGTAAAAAACTTGAGTCTAATAAAACCAAACGGGTCCTTATTTTAGGAAGTTAATTTGACTGTTTTAAGTAGTAATTCCCCGAAATTTCCCCACCAATCTTACGTTAGCCATTAGGTTATGGGCCCAGTCACGGCTGGTGGTGGAAATTAGTGCGGTTCGCGAGTAAAATCGGAACGTTTTCGTCGAAAGTTTGCCGGCGCTGAAAATCGGTCGGAAGTTCGCGTGTGTCGTCGCGAAAACAAAATGGCGGAGAAGGTTGCGATCGAGAAGCTGGGGGATCATAACTGGCCCCTGTGGAAATTCATGATCAACCTGATTCTCGGCGAAAAGAGCCTGTCCGATATTGTGAAAGGCGAGAAACCGGCCGAACCGACGAATGATTGGATTTCCAAAGACGGAGTTGCGCAGTCCGTCATCGAACTAGCTTTGGAAGATACGCAACTATGCCACGTCATGGGGAAAGCCACCGCGAAAGAGATGTGGGATGCCCTACAAGCACACCACGAAAGGAAGTCTATGTGTGGAAAAGTTTTCTTGATGCGGAAGTTGATTTCGCTTCGGATGCCGGAGCGGGGCAGTATGACCGACCATCTTTCGGAGATAACCCTACTTCACAATCGTCTCGCTGGGATAGGAGAAACGATGACAGACCACTGGCTGGTGTCGATCATTCTCTCGAGCCTTCCAGAATCGTATAATTCCCTCATCATGTCGCTCGAGTCTCGTCCGGAAGAAGAACTTTCGTTGGATTTCGTACGAGGGCGACTCTTGGACGAGTGGAGGAGACGGTGCGGCGGTGAAACTCATAGCAGCAGCAGTGCAGAACAGCATCATCGTGCCTTGCAGACTGGCACAAAACCAAAACAAAAGTGCCATTACTGCGGCAAGGAGGGGCACTTCAAGCGAGATTGCCGCAAGTGGATCCAGGATCAGCAGCGAAAAGGCGACGGCCGCGATGGTGCCGGCCGTGGTTCGGGCTGCTCGAAGCAGAAAGTAAACAAAGTGCAAGAAGAAAATGAAGAAGTGTGTTTCAGTGTTCGGTCGAAGAAAGAAGATGAACATTGGTACCTAGATTCGGGGTGCACCTCCCATATGACTGGTGACGTTTCGAAGCTGATGTCAGTGAACGGTTCGCGGAAGCAAACAATTTGTTTGGCTGATGGGAACAAAGTACAATCAAAAGGCGTCGGTGACTGTCGTGTTGACGCGTGTGATGGTAGTGGTGACCCCGTGAATCTAAAACTGAAAAACGTTCTGCTCGTGCCGGATTTGAAGAACAATTTGCTTTCGGTGAGCAAAATCGCTGACGAGGGATACGATGTAACGTTCAGCGAAAGTGAGGGCCGTATCATGAAAAACGAAAGTGTTATCGTTGTCGGTGTCCGTGATGGAAATTTGTATCACTTGAAGCGTGAAAATGAACAATCGTTGTTGGCGGAGACGAATCATCGGGCTGGATGTCAGCACATCTGGCATCGCCGGCTGGGGCATCGGCACCCGGAGGATGTAACCAAGATTGTTCGAGATGGACTCGGTACTGGACTGGACATGACTGCATTTCCGGTGAAGAATTTGGTGGAGATAGATCGGTCTCCGATTCCGACGGTGGAGGACGAGGTTCCTGATGATGAATCAGTATCTACTATGGAAGATGAAGCGGATTCTTCTGACACCGAAGGGAACTTTGATACGGCGGATGAAACGGAGGAATCAGATTTCGAAGGCTTTCGGGACGAGGAGTTCCAGCGACGTTCGCAGCGAAGCACCAAGGGGAAAGCACCAGTTCGCCTGATCGAAGAAATTAACGCAGTGCGCATTCAGGAGGAGAACGAACCGACGACCTATAAGGATGCGGTATCGTGTGCGCAGAAGGATCAATGGAGGACGGCGATGGAAGAAGAATTAGCATCGCATCGTGATTTGAAGACTTGGGAGATCGTCAAGCTACCGGAGGGGAAGAAAGTGGTTGGCAGCCGCTGGGTTTATAAAATCAAACGGAATGCCAGCGGTGAGCCGGTGAAGTATATAAAGCACGATTAGTCGCGCAGGGGTGCAGTCAAAAACCAGGAGTCGACTTTGAGGAAGTTTATGCACCGGTCGTGACTCAAGCCACTTTCCGGACGCTACTGGCGGTGGCGAGCTACAAGAAGATAGTTCTGAAGCATGTAGATATAAAGACTGCCTACCTCAACGGGAGTCTCGGCGAAGAGGTCTACATGAGGCAGCCCCCGGGGTTTGCTGAACCGGGCAAAGAAGGATTCGTTTGTCGTCTGCTCAAAAGCATATATGGGCTGCGACAATCCGCACGCTGTTGGAACGAAGTCTTGAATGACATGGGGTTCACGGCTAGCTCGGCAGATCCATGCTTGTATGTTCGTGACGTCGAAGGTAAAAGTGTCTACATCGTGCTCTACGTCGATGATGTTGTCATCGGATGCGACGATGAAGGGGAGATAGATCGAGTTCACGAAGAGATCAGCGAGCACTTTGAGACGACCGGATTAGGAGAGTTGAAGTACTTCCTCGGCCTGGAGATCGACCGTGTTGCCGGAAATTACGGAGTGTGTCTGTCGGGATACATTCAGCGCGTTGCTGAACAGTTCGGCTTGGGTGATGCCAAATCTTCTCGTACACCTATGGATGAAGCTTATGCTCGGGGCGACTTGGACAGTCAGCTACTCCCGGACAACGTGAACTACAGAAGTTTGGTGGGCGCCTTACTGTACATCTCCGTGAATGCGCGACATGATATAGCTGTTGCTACTTCGATCCTTGCTCAGAAAGTTTCCCAACCGACGGAGGCCGACTGGACGGCCGCGAAACGTGTCGTCAGATATCTGCGTGGAACCCTTAACTGGAAATTGCAATTCACTGAATCTGCACCAACGCTGATGGGTTACTCCGACGCAGATTGGTCTGGGGACCACAAAACCAGGAAGTCAACATCTGGATTCGTATTCACCGTGGGCGGCACTGCGGTAGCCTGGAGAAGCAAGTAGCAGAGCATCGTGGCACTCTCATCAATGGAATCGGAATATGTCGCGCTTAGCGAAGCAACGCAGGAGGTGTTGTGGCTACGAAGACTACTTGCGGATCTAGGATTCGAGCAGAAGGAGCCAACGGTGTTGCACGAAGACAATCAATCGTGCATCGCCTTTGTACGATCGGAGCGGGTCGGTAAACGCTCAAAGCACATCGAGACGAAGGAGATGTTCGTGCGCAATCTTTGTGAGAAAGGAGAGATAACATTGCAATACCTTTGTTCGGAGGAGATGATCGCCGACGCTTTAACGAAGCCGCTGGGAACGATTAGAAACCGGAAGCTGTCGACGAAAATGGGATTGACCGAAGATGAATTTCGTGGAACGTCGGGTAAAGATTAAGGAGGAGTGTTGACGTCATCATAACTTCACCTTGCTAATCATTTACCTTTGTTCCATCCCTTTGCTATGACTGGCAGCCCTGATGTCAGTCTCAAAACATGAGAAAAGAGAACCACAACCTGTAAAAAACTTGAGTCTAATAAAACCAAACGGGTCCTTATTTTAGGAAGTTAATTTGACTGTTTTAAGTAGTAATTCCCCGAAATTTCCCCACCAATCTTACGTTAGTTATTACTTGTCGCTCAGCAAGCTTCTGCGCAAAGTCCGGTATGCCTCAGGGTAGCCATCTGGGATCATTGGCATTTCTCCTTTACTTCGACGACGACACAGGGTCACGATTATCGTTTGCAGCCGATCTGAAAGTTTTTCTGCGCTTCCGCCGGCACTCGCCGACTGCCGTTCTCTCCAAAATCAGATTGACATCTTTGCTGACTGGTGTAGTCTAAACCGACTGGTGGTCAACCCAGCTAAGTGTACAATCATTACTTTCTCACGCAAGAAACAACCGATTATTTTCAACTACAAACTACTAGGCACTTTTGGCTTTGTCTTCAAGATTACTAAGAACTTCACATACTTTTACTGCTTGAAATCGCTCTATTGCTCTCTTGTACGATCTACGTTGGAATACTGCTCTGCAGTGTGGAGCCCGAACTACAATAATGGGGCCGAGCGAATTGAATCTGTGCAACGACGTTTTCTTTGCTTCGCGCTCCGTAAGCTGCCTTGGAGATAGCCACTTCGTCTTCCAAGCTACGAGAATCGCTGCCAATTGATCAATGTCGAGCCTTTACGTATCCGAAGAGATGTTTTCAGAGGCTTAACCGTCGTCAATACCCTGCAAGGAAGAATCGACTGCGAAGCAATTCTGCAACAAGTGAACATTAATGTTGAACCTCGATCACTACGCAACAGTTTTATGCTGAGACTTCCACTTCTTCGAACTAATTATAGCTTAGGGAGCGCTATTTACGGCTTGCAGCGAGTGTTCAACCGAGTAGTGTCGATGTTCGATTTCCACTTGACACGAAATATCCTTCGCCGAAGATTCTCTGCCTTTTTTGCTGATCGAAGGCGCTTGATGCCCAACAGCTAAGTGTAAAATTTAAGACTTATAAATTTTTAGTAACTTGACAATGCTTTCCTAGTTATTTTCGTTTGTAACTGTAGTAACTGTAGTATATGTAGTCTGTATAATCTGTACTTTTTTTTTACAACACATCATTGGGACTATTTCTAGTCTGTTGATGCAAACATAACAAATAAACAAACTGATTTTAACTGGAAAAAATATGAATAAATTTACTATGAGCATTCAAATATTTACATGGGAATTGCACTTCGTAATTTCGACGCCCATTTTCTCAATCTCGATTACTTTTTCAAAGGGACGTATCAGCTTTTGTAAAAAATGCTTTTGATCGTCAATTTGGCGTAACTCAATAGCAATATCTACTTTCTTCCATATGGGACTGATATGCGATTATAGGCTTAGGATTAGTATTTGAGTGAGTGACTAGAAGACTGGTTATTAATCGAACCAACGATTGAACGGTCATTACAGTAATATTGAATCAGATCATCTTATATTATCAATTATAACAAATCGCGAATAATTCAATAATTGTATGCGAGAAAGCAAATCGCTTCTAAAAATAGTTAGGTTTGATTTTCTCTGCTCATATTATTAAAAAAAAATGAATAGTAAATGCCGTTTTGTGCTCGACAACTGCTGACGATGATTGAACGGTAGTTTGAATCGTCAGTTCTAACATAATCCAATGAATGATACTTAGATAACTTGTAGGAAATACTTACCGGAACTAGATCCGGTTGAATCAAATTGAATTAGCAATCTTCCCCTTTGTCTTCACCCGTCGCTTGCTTGTACGGAGGCACCAGTTTGAACTCACTTCCGGTGAACGCTCCATAGTCAACGCAGAATCTCAGCATCGAATACCAGGTCACATCCCGCTGCAGCGTGTCCGGATTCCCGACGATGATCATCAGCGCTCTTGCCCGAGTTATAGCCACGTTCAAGCGCTTCTCGTTCTTCAAGAATCCAACCGTCGCCGTTTCGGATCGCACCGTCGAAATCAGTATGACCGGCTTCTCCCGTCCCTGGAACTGCTCGGTGGAACCAACCTCCACCTGATCCCAGTTGTTGTCCTTGCAGAGTGCTTTAATATACTGGACCTGCTTGGTATACGGCGAGATAACTCCGATGTCAGCCTGTCCCACAGAACGACCATTGATCTGCTCGGAGAGAATGGTTTTGATGTAGGACACGACCTGGTTTGCCTCCTGACGATTGTACAGACTGCTTGAATGGGCATCCTTCTCGGTTATCCCGCGGGTCGAATGGAAAAACAGGGGACACTTTTTCCTTGGCAGCACAGGCCAACCTATCGCCCAATCAGTAGCAAATGGAGGACCGCGTGGACGCAGAACGCCTCCGTAGAAGGCACAACTCGAAAACTCAATGATGTACTTGTTGGATCGGAAGTTGTTCAGCAGCTTTGTGATGACAAACGGGTTATACTCCATTGTCTTGGGGTCCTTAACGTATACGGAGTAATTCATGAGTCGTTCCAGCATCGAAACCTCCTGGACCGTACCGTGTAAGTATTTATGCGTAACAAGCGGTCCCAACTGCTTGGGATCGCCAGAAAGAACTACGCTCGCGGTGACTTCTTTCCCATTGGTGCCGATTCCTGCGATGGGAACCAAGGCGGATACCTCTTTGTTGCTTCCCGCTTCATCGATGAATATGTATTTAAAGTGGTGAGGATCGATTTTGGCCTGAGCCAAACGGCCGCACATGGTAGTAGTGGCCACTACAATCCGACTATTGTAGACATCGTGCCACGAGGGAATTGCATACGTTCCCGATGATATATTCGAAATATCGACCACGGCTTGATCCATATTGAGTATATTCTTTTCGCAAGACTTCGAAAGGAAACGGAACACATCGGTAGCTGGGATGAACTCCAGCAGACGCTTGGTAAACTCCTCGCAGGCAAAGTTCGAAGGTGCCGAAACCAGCACGTTAGCCGTCGGTTGCAGTTTCCAGATTTGAATCACTGCTTCCACTATCGTCGAGGTTTTACCCGTGCCGGGTGGACCGAACAGAATATACGGCGCTGGAAATGCCGTACGATTGACTATGTTCCGGACGGCAGACATCTGTTCGTCGTTCTTCGCAACGAAATTGCTGAACCACTCGAAGCTGCAAGAAAAGTAAGTCTAATAATCCGCAATCAATGAGAGAGGGCAATCAAAACCCCACCTGTCGTATTTGATTTTCTTTTCCACCGGTGGCTTTGGAAACAGCAGCTTCTCGATGCCAACCGGATCCATCAGCGACAGTGCAAAGTATTCTAGCTGAAACGTCAGCCGGTTCAATTCGAATACAACCATGTAGGTAGGCGCCGGATCCGGAGGACAATTCATGTGGATAACCATATAATCCTCATTGATCTTGTGAATCGTCCCCGGGAAGCAACGCGGCTCAAACTCACTGGGTATGATGACTTTCACTCCGCACTCCTCGTCCAGCAAGGTTGGGGCGACCGCGAATTGATCAATCTGGCGATGATACAAACCTAGGATAGAATCATATCTCCAACAACTACCACATCAATTACCGTCAAACGATAGAACTTCTCCGAAATTCCGGGCACCAGGGTGGCTTTCTTAATTATGTACTTTGAATACTCCACCTGCAGATGGTAGTCCTCGATCTGATTCAGCAGGTTCAAGTGCTCGACATAATTATCGGGGCTCAAACCATCGTTCTTGTACTTCGCCAACCGATCCAGCAAAGATTTAGCGCCAGCAGACTTGGAATTCGGAGAGAAATTACTCTTGTGCAGCTCCCGGATAACCAGCGGAACCGGATAGCAATTCAACGCTGAGCAGCGAATCGGAGGCTTCTTCAATTCCAGCTGCTCCCTCAGAAAGTGGCTCAGTTCGCTAACCTGAACGTAATGCTGCTCCAGCACTTCCGTCTTCGAGTTCGTTCGCCCGACCAGAATCAACGCAAAATTCCGTTCCAATTCCGACAGCATACTGCTATTGAGCGAAAACGTTGTACTGGCAGCCCACGGAACGCGGGTCTCACTCTCGAACAGAGTCATCAGTTGACCATTGGGCAAGTGGAGGTACGCCATGGTCAACAGCACGACCGGATGAGGCGACACGTTCTTCACGTACACCAGCGTCTTGGCGAAATCCGGACGGTAATCCAGCCGGATTTGGAACATTGCTTCCTCGAGAATGCTATCATCCACTTGTCTTATGAAGCGGAACTCACTGCCGTGTTGTTCCAGGTGCCTGGTGAACAGATCCTCGTTCTTACAATTCGCTCGGCATACGTAGCAGTACCAAGGAATGTGTTTTATTTCCTGGAAATCCCGGATAAATGTTCGGACGTGACGCGATTTCCACGGTCGCTCCGTGCGCTTGAGTTGGGATGGTTGTTTCGATGCATTTTGCTGCTGTTGGGGAGGTTCTGCCTTCACCGGTGCAAGCTGATGGGAAGAGCGTCGGTTTAGCCTCATAACACAACTCCCATTAACTAGGGCTTACCTTATCAAATGTAGCTTTAGCTGAGTTACTTCTGTTATTTTTCACTAAACTATTCATTGCTGAATTAATTGGTCGCGTAAATTTTTAAAAAGCTATCGATACCCATTGGGACAACCGCACGTGTGGAGACTCTTGTCACTGGAAAAGGAAACTGCGGAAAGAAAGTATGAACGTAAAAGCTAACCTCAATGAGTACAGAGAGAGGTGAAGCAGATCGTGAAATATGGTTGTGTTAGTAAACCAAAAAATTAACGTAAACGCAATTAGTGACGTCACTAATTGCATGTACGTACAGGGGTTTTACTCACACAACTTAACCGACTGCTTTCTCTCGGTAATCCAGTCATTGAGCTAACCTCGCCCTTCTTTCATTTTGCTTTTGCTTTTATTTTATTGACACGCTAACTTTAAAATACCCATTAATAAGCAATATTTTACCCATTTGATTTATTTATTATTCTCTTCATTTAAGACACAAACAAAGTGACAGACGGAGCGGCTCGAAAACTTTGGTGACTAACCTGCTATTTCAATTTTTCAGTGTACCATTCAACAATTAACCACTTCATTCAAGCACTTAAAATGACGTTTACTACCACTCGAACTTTGAAATAAAACATTATTTTGAGATTTTTTCTTCTAACCTCGAGAAAAGTAGCCAAAATTTGTGTGTTTTATAAAAAAATAGAAATTAGTTGGTCCAGTTTTGTGAAATCGCTGGTAGAAAATCACGCCAAAATTGCTTGACAAAGTGCCCGCATAAACGCGAACCATAAATTGACCTTACCTAAAATGGTTAAAAATTGTTTATAATCCCTGCTAAACTTTAACTGAAATGGTTATGGAACTTTACATGAACGTTTAATGATAAAGTTTCAACCTTATGTATTATGGTTTTTTGGAACTGGACCTTACAAATAATGGGTTGTTAAGAACCATTACCATTCCAAATTCTTGTTTTCTCCATACATTTTCAGAAAGAGAACTATATAAGAACGTTTTTACTTATGATTTGAGAACATTAATGGTAATGGTTATTGTTGGAATATCAACGAAGAGAAAATACAAACGTGTTAACTTTGCAAGCGTCACTTTATTAATCGTCCCATAGGTTACAAGGTTGCCAGTCATCACAACATTATCTCTCTTTATTTCATTTTGAAAATGATAAAATATCGGAAGGACATTATTCCATTGAATAATCTTCGTAACGCTTAGGACGTACAATCTTCCGGCGGGGCCTTGCATCCGACGATGCACTCACTGTTGGTAACACGGCACTTCCGAATTCAGTTACCTTTGGATTTTCCGGGATTCCGTTGTCGGATGAGTTCAAGGTTTTCAGGTGGGAAGTGTTACGCTTGTACCTTTGTCCACTAGGAGTTGCAACGGTCGCCATACTACCGTTTTTCTCTACGACCGTTGCAGACGTGGACAAAAATGTAGGGGTTAGCTTATTATGCGGTTGCATATTCCTCATCAAAACTTCGTCACCAACCTTGATCGTAGTTTCCTTAGCTCCAACCCTCTTGTCTCGGTTCTCCTTGGCTCCGTGTTTTACTATGGCATCACGATCTCGCAGTTCTTCATCGAAGATTACTTCATCCTGCATGTGTGGAAATAGGTCTCGAAATCGACGTCCAAACATCAAAGTCGCTGGGGCAACTCCAGTAACACTATGAGGTGTCACCGAATACATATACAAATATTCTTGAAGCGCGTGTTCCATATTGGTCCTTTGGTGTTGACTGATCTTGAGCACCTTCATGAGTGAACGATTCTGCCGTTCCACTTCTCCGTTCGCAGCAGGCCAGTAAGGTGTCGTGTGAGCGAGTTTTATGCCGTAGTCAACACAGTAGTCCTTGAGCTCTTGACTTGAAAAGTTTTTCGCGTTGTCTGTTGTCAACACAAATGGCAGTCCCATTCTCGTGAAAATTTGCTTCAAGACTCGTATTACATCAGAAGATGTAGTGTGGGACATGAACTCGGCAATCACGAAACGGCTATACAAATCAACTAGCACAAAAATGTATTTACCATTCGGGAGAGGACCAAGAAAATCAGCACTCAAATGCACCCATGGGGCTGACGGCATTTCACGTAAACGCAGCGGTTCCGGTTTGTTCAATGGTCCAACCATTTGGCACTCAACACAGTTTCTGCAGGACCTTTCAACATCGGCATCTAGTCCTGGCCACCAAACAGCCGAGCGCAAACGACGTTTCATTTTCTCCTTCCCCGGGTGTCCAATGTGCGAAAGCTCTAGCAGTGCAGCCCGCAGGCCCTCAGGAATCACTATTTTATTCTTCCTCAGCAGAATTTCCTTGATGAAACAGAATTCGGTCTTGAACGGCACAAATTTCTTCAAGCTTTCATCCCAGCGATCATCTAGAAGAGCTTGTTTCACTTTCTGGATCTCTTCGTCCTCTTGCGAATTGAGTATTATCTCGTTCATCGTGATAGCAGCAGGTTTGTTCATCTCAACAATCAATCCCAATGAATCCTCCGTCGTCTTGTCAAACGTTGTAGAGCTGATTGTATCACACAACCTCGATAACGGATCTGCAATATTGATTTCACCCGGAACATGAACCACAGAAAAACGAAAAGATTGCATACGCAGTATCCATCTTTCTTGACGCTGATTTGGGTGTGATGATTCGTTAAAGATGTGTACCAGCGGCTTGTGATCCGTGACGACAGTGAACTCCAAACCTCTCAGGTACATTGCAAAGCGTTCAGTAGCCCAGACTATGGCAAGAGCCTCTTTATCCAGCGTTGAATACTTCTGCTCCGTTTTGGTTAGACTTTTACTAGCGTAGCATACGGGTCTTGATTTCGATTTAGTGGTTTGCAACAAGACAGCCCCAAGGCCTTTCTCACTAGCATCTGTTACCAGCATGGTTGGATAACTAGGATTATAGAAAGCCAGATTTCGTGGATTCGACATAACGTTCTTAATTTCGTTGAATGATCTCTTTGCATCTTTGGACCAATGAAATTTATTCCCTTTTACGATCATTTCCCTCAGGGGGGCAGTCGCATTAGATAGCTTAGGAATAAACTTCCCTACGTAGTTTACTAGACCCAAGAAGCTACGCATTTCGGTCACGCTCTGAGGACGACGAAAGTTCTGGATCGCGTTCACCTTGTCATTTGTAGGCAGAATCCCATCAGCAGAAAGTTGATGCCCCATGAAGCAAACCGTAAATTTACCGAACTCGCATTTCGATTCGTTGATAGTGAGGCCATGTTCACGTAGACGATCAAGGACAGCTTTGAGCCTTTTATCGTGTTCTTCTTGAGAAGACCCATAGACCAGCATATCATCTATGAAGACTTTAACACCTTTCAAACCTTTCAGCACTCTCTCGATACAGCGTTGAAAAATCTCGGGGGCAACGCTCATGCCGAACATTAGTCTTTTGTAGCGGTAATAAGCATCTTGCGTCACAAACGTCGTAATGTCTCGCGAATTTGGCGATAGTTCGATTTGATGGAATGCCTTCACGAGATCTACTTTGCTAAATACTTTACAGCCTTCCAGGTGCGGCATTATTTCCTCGAAGGTTGGTAAAGGATGTTTCTCCGGAATAATAGCCCTGTTCGCTTTTCTCATATCCACACAAAGTCGCACATTCTTGCCGTGGTCTTTGATAGTTACTACTAACGGCGATGCCCAAGTGATATTCAGGGGCGCGAGTTCGATGATATCCTGTTTCAATAAATCTTCGATCCGTTCGTCGACTAGTTTCTTTAACGGAATCGGCAACCGTCGACAGGGTTGTTGAACAGGTGGTACGGAATGGTCAATCTTGATGTCAACCTGTACATGCTTCAGCTTTCCGATCGAGAGTTTCCCCGCATCACTAACATTGCACAATTCGCTGTGGATTTCGAGGATGCCCAAGTCCATTGACGTTTTCTTGCTCAAAAGGTTTCCTCCTTTGTTTCCCTCGACGACATAGATTTCATGATGCACTGTAGCATTCTTCGTTGCAATATCAGCTTTAATTATTTTCTCCACTTTCAGCTTCCCATCACCATACGCCCTCAATACCTTGTCCGACTTTTCTTCCTTGCTCACTACACATTCTTGTCCTTTTAGCCATTTCCAGGTTCCACGAGTAATTACATTTACGTGAGCTCCGGAGTCCACAATCCAACGTAGTTCCACGCCACCAACGTAACATGTTACTTTGTCTGCATCAGTGCTGGTTGCATATACGTGCTGCACATCGTTCTGCGCTGCTTCACAGCTCTCGCTCTCCGATGAATCCGATACAGAATCATAGTCTTCACGGACTTGACGTACTCGAGATTTGCTTGTTGTTGCCTTCACAGTTTTGGTCTTGCACATTTTTTTAAAATGACCCACGATTCCGCATTTGTCGCATATTTTACTTTTGGCCGGACAGCTTTTGTCGTTTGCGAAATGTCCTGGGTTTCCGCATCGGAAACATGTTTCGTGGCGATCCAGGTGGCGAGCAACTTTCTTCACCAAATTGACAGAATCCTCTTCGACAGACTTCTTCATTTGCTCTCTATTCCTCATTACCGTTTCCAAAATCCGACCTTCATCTGCTATTTCCTGCACCATCATCAGCTTTTTCTTCAATATCGATTCCCGCAGAGAATCCAAACAACACTTATCGAAGACCTGTTCGGTAATCCGCATTTCCAGGGCCACTCCATAATCGCAAAGTCTGCCCTGATCCCGAAGACGATGGATGAACTTCTCGACTGTTTCACTATTCAACTGTTCCATTTTCCGGAAAACACATCTTTCATATGGTACGTTATTCAACGGAGCAAAATGAGCATCAAGCAAACCGATAGCTTGTTTATATACATCAGAACCCGCAGGGGGAGCAGCGTTGTGTCCTTCGATGTTGAAAAATATGTCTTGTACTTCCGGACCTGCGTAGTGAAGCAGATAAGACCGCTTCCTAGAAGGCAGAGCTACGCAATTAACATCAAGGAACAGTTCAAACGAGCGTTTCCATTTTGTCCATCGGCTCCCGATGGAGGCACTGTCCGCCACGTCGAAGGGTGGTACCGTCGATTTGTTTACATCCATTTTTTTTTTACACTTTTTGTTTCTCCTTCTATTTTTTTTTGCTACTATGACGTGTATACTTTTCACTGATTTAGGTTAGGCATCTCCGGCCTCCAGAAACGATCCGCTGTCAGCTATTTTTTTTGTTTTTCCACTGATTTCCGTCTTTCGTTTGGTTTGTCCGTATCAAAACACCAAGATCTACGCATTTAAGCAAATTTTTCCGAATTTAATCCCATCTTCAGTCGCCAAAATGTTGGAATATCAACGAAGAGAAAATACAAACGTGTTAACTTTGCAAGCGTCACATAGGTTACAAGGTTGCCAGTCATCACAACAGTTATGGTAGTCAGTAAGGTCCATTAATGGTTTTGTATTATCGCTCAACTTTACGTGGAATATATCGTGAATTGGTAATCAGTAAATTACAGGCAACCAATTCGCGATATATTCCACATAAAGTTGATCGATGTTACAAAACCATTCGTGAACCTTACTGACATTGATCTGTATTGAGATCTCCAACAACAGCGCTAAATTTTAACGAATTCGGCTACAATTTGAATTTGCGGGGTAATTTTAAAATTTGCATGGGAAAATGTATTGGAAATGGCACAAAACTATTCACGTGCGTATGAACATGAGGACATACTAAAGAAGTAGTTTACCCACAATTAGTATGTTTTCAAGTTTTTGGAGCAGATTTCATCTCTTAGGCTGTAAACCATTTGCCGAGTTAAATTTAACTCCTAGTTAAAAGTGACATTTCGAAAGTTATTCTCTATGTTCGAAAATCCCTGTGCTGTCGATCGACCAGTTTTCGAGCCACGGTTGTCAAAATTTAACTTCTTGTCTGTCAGAAATAACCATGCTCGGATAGCATAGTTAATCGATAACTTTCCATCTGTTAAATTTTAACCAAAAGTTAAAAAATTTGCCAAATGGTTCAGAGCCTTACAGAGCTCTGGTGGACGCATCTAGAAACGAAAAAAAAAATCCATCGACAAATCAAAAAGTTACAGCCTTTGAAAGTGGCCTGGGGTCAAATTGCCCCAAGGTAAAGACAAAGGGTTAACGATTTTTGCTTTTAACCTGGTTTCCATTTTACTTCAATTCGACTTAACCACAAACGAAGTGACAGACGGAGCGGCTCGAAAACTTTGGTGACGCACCTGCTATTGCAATTTTTCAGTGTACCACATGGCAACACCACTACTACACTCAAAAAATTCCACACGTCGTCATCATGTGTCTCACACTTAATTTTGCGCATATTGTGAAACACATCCATTTCATGTGTGAATCTTATGCTATGAACCATGCCTGAACACTATGGATTTGAATTGTGACACACTTGGATTCTATGTGCCTCATATGGTGATATCAATCCAGCTTTCCATGCTCGGTAATGGCGGCCTGTTTGTATGAATAAATGTATCCTTCACTGTGCTTTTTGACACTATCTGGATGTTCGAATTTCAACCTCTTCCCTTTCCCTCTCCCAGGAACAGTAGAAAATGGAACAACATACGCCCTCCAGTTAGTGTCAAAAAGCACAGTGAAGGATACATTTATTCATACAAACAGGCCGCCATTACCGAGCATGGAAAGCTGGATAGCTTTGCACACCATAGTTCAATATTCTACAATATTCTACTTTATCGAATTCTACTTTACCGACTCTAAAAATGAATCGACAAATATATAAACAAAACTGCCAGAGGCCAGAGCTTTCACATATATTTTTAATGGGTCTGATTTGGGATTCAATCATGGACTGTTGGGGTATGCTGCTGCCGGAGTCTTCGTTCGATCTCACTGTGCCACGGTTGTTCTCATATATGAGGCAGGTTGATAGGATAAAGTCACAACTCTTGTTATCGATGTTTACCTTTCTGAGCAAGCAATTCACATCGTATTGAAATGCAAAACACTTTAAATCCATCTGTTTTGAACAGTAGCGTGATTCAATGTGCAATACACTTGAATAGATAGTGAAAGATTTTCAACATTTCAAAGTTTGAAACACTATAAATTAACGAGTATAACACATTGAACCAAGGTGAAATATACTTAAAGTAAATGTGTTGTGCATTTAGAAAATCAAGTGTTTAAACACTTCGATCAAACGTGTGAAATTTTTTGAGTGTACTTGATTGTACCACATGGCAACACTAGTAATGGATTGTACCACATGGCAACACTAAATGTAATAGAATGTTTTGGCTCTATCTCTTTCACTCTACTCTAAACTGAAATGCATAAAAAAAATGACAAAATGATACACTCTTTGCACACTGTCAAAGATCATATTGCACACAAAATCAACTATGTTCAAATCAAAACAAAAATACTAGCCCATCTGGTGGCTGATGGCACAAGCTTCTAAGAAAATTCTATTACAGCGAACCACATTATTTTAATGAATTTCTTCACCAGTAAGTCGTCTGTCACTTCGTTTGTGACTTCCCGCATAAACGCGAACCATCACATGACCTTACCGATAATGGTTATAAATTGTTTATAATCCCTGCTAAACTTCAACTGAAATGGTTATGGAACTTTACATGAACGTTTGTGTGATAATGTTTTAACCTTATGTATTATGGTTTTTTGGAAGCGGACCTTACAAATAATGGGTTGTTAAGAACCATTACGATTCCAAATTCTTGTTTTCTCCATACATTTTCGGAAAGAGAACTATATTAGAACGTTTTTACTTATGGTTTGAGAACATTAATGGTTATGGTAGTCAGTAAGGTCCATTAATGGTTTTGTATTATCGCTCAACTTTACGTGAAATATATCGTGAATTGGTAATCAGTAATTTACAGGCAACCAATTCGCGATATATTCCACATAAAGTTGATCGATGTTACAAAACCATTCATGAACTTTACTGGTTACCATAACCATTACCATTAATGTTCTCAAACCATAAGTTAAAAGGTTTTAGTATAGTTTTCTTTCCGAAAATGTATGGAGAAAACAAGAATTTAGAAAGGTAATGGTTCTTAACAACCCATTATTGGTAAGGTCCACTTCCAAAAAACTATAATACTTAAGGTTAAAACTTTATCATTAAACGTTCATGTAAAGTTCCATAACCATTTCAGTTGAAGTTTAGCAGGGATTATAAACAATTTATAACCATTATCGGTAAGGTCAATTTATGGTTCGCGCTTATGCGGGTTAACTCTTCAAAGAACTTGGATTTATATTGATAGAAGCTGTGAACCAGCCAGATCAAAGCTTGTCGAAAGACGAATAAACAATAATAAGTCAAAGCAAAAGATGTCAAAGTACCTATTTCCGGAGTGATTTGAGATTTGGGCGTAATTCCATTTTGTAAACAAACACGTCAATCACTGATTTCTCGCGAATAAAAGCTCAATCTTGAAAACTAATAACGCTTTGAGGTAGAGGAATGATTCCTCTATCATTTGGTGTAGTTTGTTTATGAGATTGAGGTTTAATTCAAGAGAAATCGACAATTGACGTCTTTTTTTACAAAAGAAATTACGCCCAAATCTCAAATCACTCCGGAATTTACGTTCGTATATGATTTCATTCATGTCGAATATTTCACCGAATGAAAACATCCAGACACCCTGTATGGCTGGAAGCGTTGATAGTCGTAAATATTTATCACATGAGGGAGTCAAGCCGGCACATGGTCTGCCATCACAGTGTGTGCGAGTGCAGGGCGGGCGACTCCGATGTTTGCTCACTTACACACTTATGCTCGGGCGCTTGGCTGCGAAGAAGCTGATCGTTCACCACCCATCTGCCGCCTTTGCTAGCTACAGTCAGTCAGTCAGTCTTCTAAGCTCGAATCGCACCTATGCAAGATGATCGAGGTGTACATCGCAGTAGGAGTGTTGGCCATTTGTCTCTACTTCAAATGGGTGTGCAGTTATTGGCGTCGGGTGGCCAACATTGACGGTCCCCAACCGCTGCCCATATTCGGAAACGGACTAGAACAGATCACTGGATCGAAGCATTTTGGGGAGATTTTTGAGGAAGTTTACAGGTAAGTCCAAATGGTATTTCGATTATGTTTTCATTGAACACTGCAATATTATAGGACATATCCGACGGCGTCATGGGTCGGAATCTACGAGCTGTTCAACAAACCTGCCATCGTTGTACGAGATTTGGAATTGGTGAAGGACATTCTGGTGGGAAGCTTTCAGCATTTTAACAAAAACTCATTCGAAGTAGATGAGACCATTGATCCCCTTGTTGCGGTGAATCCATTTACCCAATCCGGTGATACATGGAAGGAAACACGCGGACAGCTGGTACCGGTATTCACGCAATCAAAGATCCGAGCATGCTTTCCCATCCTCAAAAATGTAGCGGAAAACTTCTTGGATTACGTGACCACCACACGTGAGAGCACTCCAGATTTGGAGGCAAAGGATGTACGATCAACACCTTGTTTTATGATTCACTTAATGTAAAAGTATCGTTTCAATTGCAGATTTGTTCCCGGTATACAATCGACGCGGTGGCCAGCTGTGCCTTCGGTATCGATGCGGAATCGTTTACCAATCCGAACTCCGAATTTCAACGGGTGGGATACGAATTGTTCCACCCGAATTCGATTTCCGCCACCGTGCGAACATTGCTGGCACTGTTTGCACCGAAAGTCGCTTCTCTGCTCCGGATTCCGTAAGTTGCCTACCACCTTCATTTGGTTTAAATTAAACATTTTGATTGGCGTGTCAAGTGGCAAATGCTTCAATTGATAAGGCGCATCGTTATCACAGATTCTGCCTCTTTCTTCTATATTCTGCCTATTAGATACATGTATGGCGCACACTATTTGTGGCTCCAGCAATTGGACCAAATTGAGGCAAATTTTGGCAATTTCGAATGAGGACCGTTCGACCATTTTTCGGTTGCAAATTCGTACCGAATTTGATATTGCAAAGTGCTTCCTTTCAATCTTGTTTGACTATTTGCACTTTATCTCTATGTTGAGGTGGTATTATTTGTTTACATCTTTCATTTGAACACACAAGCGGGATAGTTGTTGCGCTAGTGTGCGTGAATGGATAATTTGAACCACCCTAATACCTAGGACAGACATGATTGTATACTAACTAATACCATGTACAGACATACCGAGTAGTGCCGTTGTTCTTCTTTAATCTAGTGCGTCGATTGTAGTACTAGATTGAAGAAGTCGATATGTATGTACAAGGTCTAGTACGACTATTGCACTACCCATAAACGTATAATTGTTGTAATGCGTTTATGAATACTACAAAATCATGTCTGCTATTATGATAGAACGTACATTTCCTACAATCACTATTTATACTGCTGTTATACGCATAAGTGTCCCACAATCCATAAGGATTGCATAGGACATGTGACAGTTATGCGTATAGTGGCAGTATAGAATTACCATAAAAATCAGTCCAATGCACAAATTTTTCAATCTCAGTAATTATGTACTCGTATCCCATGTTCTTCCAGCTTCGTCCCGCGGCACGTGGATCGCTGGTTCCGCAAGTTGGTCAACGAAATCATCCGGCAGCGCAAGGAAGGCGAAGTCAAACGCCAGGACCTTTTCCAGGCCATGTACGACTCCCTGGCGCAGAATGGCACCAGCGAAGTCAAGGTCGACGAAATCGTAGGCCATTCGGTAACGTTCCTTAGCGAAGGTTTCGAAACCTCCAGCACTATGATGAGCTACTTGCTCTACGAACTGGCTTCGAACCAGCACATCCAGGATCGAGTACTGAACGAAATCGATTGCGTCCTGAAGGAGTACGATGGGAAACTGACGGACGAAGCGGTCCAGAAGTTGGTCTACATGGAACGAGCCATGTACGAAACGTTGCGAATGCACTCACCCGTTTTCACCTTGACTAAAGTTTGCACCAAGGACTACGAACTACCAACGCAGTATGCAGATGGGGCCGCGAAGCGTGTCACTATACCGGTTGGAATGTCGGCCATCATTCCGGTTTTTGCCATCCACTACGATCCGGAACTCTATCCGGACCCGTGTCGATTCGAGCCGGACCGCTTTCTGGACGAGAATCGCAAGGCCCGACATCGGTACGCGTTTTTAGGTTTCGGCGAGGGTCCAAGGATTTGTTTGGGCATGAAGTTCGGCCTGACCCAGAGCAAGATCGGCATAGCGACGCTGCTGACCAAGTACCGGGTGCAACAATCGGACAAACAGCAACTTCCCCTGGAAATATCCAGGAAATCGTTTCTGCTGTCGCCCAAGAATGGTATCTGGGTGAAATTCGTGGAACGGCGATAAGAGGTGTCTCACTTTACTTTTAGAATATAGAGCAAATACCAAGTTTGCCTTAACCATTGCTGCTTGTCTTATTAATGCCAAACAATTCCCCGTTTACGGACTTCAGCTAAGTTTTTTTTTTTATCTAGTTCGTTTATTTGGGAGGCTCAATCGCGTTAGCTTTACGGAGCCGATAATTCATTGTTCACTGTGTGTAACAAAATTCACTTAATTCTATGTCTAGTAGGAGTTGGGCCGATTACTCGCGGCTTACTCGAGGTTAGAAGGGTACATTTTCGAAGGATAGGATCAGGGGAGGAGCTTGGGGTAGGGTTTCGTTGTCTCATCAGAGCGTTGTCGCCAGTATGAACGGTAGTGCTGTTCTAGCTTCGTCCGGAGTTCGACCGGCTATGGTGGGTGACCAGTGGGCGACGATGAGACTCATCGAGACGGGGGGACAAGACAAACAAAAACTAATAAAGAGAGACAAAAGACAAAAGGAATTAAATTCTTATACTAGACATTTGAAGAAAAACATAAACGGACTGCATATAGCAGAGATCACGGGTTGCCAACACGTCTCTGATAGGAACATAGGGTTGTCTTCCTTGGGCCTCGAGGGTATTCAAAAGTCGCTCTCTGGCGGCGTCATTATCCGTACATTGCCAAACTGCGTGTTCGATGTCATCGTAACCGTTTCCACACCGACAGATGTTGCTGTCCACGAGGTTTATTCTATTGAGATGAGCATCTAGCGAGTAGTGGTTGGACATAAGTCTACTCATCACGCGAATGAAGTCACGACTTAAGCCCAAGCCTTTAAACCACGCTCTCGAAGAAACATTAGGAATAATTGAATGTAACCACCGTCCAAGATTTCCAGTGTCCCAATCGGTTTGCCAACTCGAAAAGGTACTCTGACGCACTAAATGGTAAAATTCATCGTGTGAAATTTGCCTGTCATACAATTCGCCTTCCTGCGCGCCCACCTTTGCGAGAGAGTCCGCCTTCTCATTGCCTGGGATTGAGCAATGTGAGGGGACCCATACAAAGGTAATCATATATGATCTTTCGACCAGCACACACATCTGCTCCCTTACCTTTGAAAGGAAATAAGATGGGTGCCTACCTTGTTTCATCGACCGAATAGCCTCAATCGAACTGAGACTATCCGAGAAGATGAAGTAATGGTCTGTGGGCATATTGGAAATCATCCCCAATGCGAAGTTGATTGCTGCCAGCTCAGCAACAAAAACGGAACAAGGTTCCTGAAGTTTGCGGAAGGCGCTAGAGTTTTCATTGAAGACACCGAAGCCAGTGGATCCATTGAGACGGGACCCGTCTGTAAAATATATTTTCATGCAATTGACTTGTTGGTACTTTTCAGTAAAAATACGTGGGATAATAATAGGTCGAAGTTGATCGGGAATCCCATGAGTTGCTTGTTTCATGGTCAGATCATATTCAATTGAGGAACTGCGATTGGTGAAGTGAACACGGTCTGGAGGATAACAAGGAAGACACATATCTGATGATATGTAGTGGTGGTAGATTCTCATAAATCGAGATTGTGTGTTCAGCCCAAGAATTTCTTCAAAATTAGCAATTATAAGTGTGTTCGTCACTCCGCATTTGATTAGTATTCTGAGAGAGAGCTCCCAGAAACGGTTCTGGAGGGGTGTTACTCCTGCCAGAACCTCGAGACTCATGTTATGCGTTGAGTGCATACAGCCTAGAGCAATACGCAGACAACGATATTGAATTCGTTCCAATTTTATTAGGTGACTTTTTCTTGCCGAGAGAAAGCAGAAAGAGCCGTACTCTAGAACAGAGAGAATAGTTGTTTTATAAAGCGTTATGAGGTCTCCCGGATGAGCACCCCACCATGTGCCGCAAATTGAACGGAGAAAGTTGATCCTCTGCTGACATTTTTGCTTCAAATACGTAATATGGGCATTCCAAGTGCACTTTGAATCAAACCAGACCCTAAGGTACTTGAAAGACAATGATTGGGTAATGTTTCTGCCCAAAAGATTAAGCTGCATTTGGGCTGGGTACCGCTTTCGAGTAAACACTACCAGTTCAGTTTTCTGCGGCGAGAATTCGATCCCTAGATTCATAGCCCAAGAAGACAAGTTATCTAAGGAATTTTGCAATGGTCCTTGCAAGTCCACGGCATGTGGACCTCTTACGGAAACCACACCGTCATCTGCAAGTTGTCTTAGCGTGCATTGTTCTGCCAAACAGTTGTCGATATCTTTGACATAAAAGTTATAAAGAAGAGGGCTGAAACATGAGCCTTGGGGCAGGCCCATGTAACTAATTCTGGAAGTTGTCAGTTTTCCAAGAGAAAAGTTCATTTGCTTTTCTGACAACAAATTGTACAAGAAATTATTTAAAATTCCAGAAAGCCCACATCTGTGCAGATTGTCTGACAGAATTTCAATGGAAACTGAATCAAAAGCCCCCTTAATGTCCAAGAATACTGAAGCCAATTGCTCCTTGTGTGCAAAGGCCAGTTGAATATCTGTGGAAAGCAGCGCTAGACAATCGTTTGTTCCTTTGCTCTTGCGGAACCCAAACTGTGTATTTGATAGCAAGTTATTTGATTCGACCCAGTGATCGAGTCTCCGAAGGATCATTTTCTCCAACAATTTCCTAATGCACGAAAGCATAGCAATCGGACGGTATGAGTTATGGTCAGACGCTGATTTGCCAGGTTTTTTAATGGCTATTACTTTGACCTGTCTCCATTCAGGCGGTACAATGTTGTTTTCTAGCAAGGAATTGAATAAATCTAGCAAGCGTCTTTTAGCGATATTTGGAAGATTTTTCAGAAGATTGAATTTAATCATATCGCTTCCCGGTGAGGAGTTGTTCGATGAAAGAAGAGCCATAGAGAAATCCAGCATTGAGAATGGTCTATCCAGAGAGCCGCCGCTAGGAGACGCTTCTCGAAGAATATTTTGTGCTGGAACTGAGTCCGGACAGACCTTTTTAGCGAAATCGAATATCCATCGGTTGGAGTATTCTTCACTCTCATTGAAAGATGAGCGGTTACGCATGTTGCGAGCCACCCTCCACAAGGTGTTCATTGAGGTTTCTCGTGAGAGTCCCTCGACGAAATTGCGCCAATAACCGCGTTTTTTTGCTTTGATTAATTGTTTCAGCTTTGTCTCAAGCTTTGAATATTCCTCGAAGTAAGTGGAGGTTTTGTGTCTACGAAAAGCTTTGAAAGCATCAGATTTTTCTACATACAATTTTGTGCATTCTTCGTCCCAACCAGGTGTGGCTGGTCTCCTTTTAAAGGGTGCACTTGGAACTTTTCTTTTTTGTGCTTCCAGTGAGCTTTTGTAAATCAAATCGGCTAGGAATCGATATTCTTCCAATGGTGGAAGCGCATCTATTGATTCGACACCGATTGTCACCGCCGTTGCATATTTCTGCCAGTCGATGTTCCTTGTAAGATCAAATGGAACCCGAGATGGTTCTGTAGAGTGAGGGCCACACTTTATTGAAATGATGATTGGCAAATGATCGCTACCATGGGGATCATTGATAACCTTCCACTGACAATCCAATGATAGCGATCTTGAACACAAGTCACTATGACCCATACTCCCCTACCAGGGGTGAGAGACAGAGTCACGCGCCACGAGGCAAAATTAAACTACAATAGGGAGGCAATGGACTTGCAAAATGTATTGTCTAATACTTATGCCGGTTGTAAACAACCTATCAGCCGTTGCAGCTAGATGGTCCGTTTGCTGCTGCTGGTGGTGATGATTGGTGTTGGTGGGTCGGCACGATGATGAAAAAATGGCTTGACGACCGGATGGATTACCGGGGTGGATTAAAGCTGGATGGCAACTCCAAGGGGCTCGGCCCATGGAATTCCACTTCCTCTGTTGCACACTGGTCACTTGGGGCACCCAATGGGGGGGGGGGTGAAAAAACCGCTCGGGCGGAAAAAACACCGAAAAAAATTAGATGCCGCGCGACTGAGACCGGGACGTTGTTAACCGACTGAGTGTTCAACTAGGAATGCCTTCAGCTAAGTTGATAGCATTTTATGTTCAACCTCTTCAATTTGGATGAAACTTTCTGGATATTTAAGCCTTTTCTGCTCATGAACCATCGGTGGAACTTGAACCTACAAACTCATTTTGCTAAATAAAATTCCTTGGGTTTTCCTGGTTATTCCAGGACTTCAACGCAAAATTTCCTGGTTTTTATAGAAATATAAAAAAAAGTGAATTCCTTGAAATAGTCCTCATAATTTTCTAGGATCTTTTCTTTGACTTCTTTGATGTAAATTTACGATTTGTTTTACATTAAATGATTTCTTGAGTTTGTGTGGTTTACATGTAACTATGCATTTTCAAGTGACACAGATGCGTCGTTTCAACTTTAGTTCATTTGAAATTTTTTAAATTATTATTTAACTTCCCTAATAAAAAATAACCATAAACGAACGATAACCCAAATCATTGAACTATTCCACAAATGGTTTGGAAGATACCCAGAACACGTCGTTAACCAAATTAACCATACAATTTGTATTAGGGTTCCTATCTAGCTTTCCATGCTCGGTAATGGTGGCCTGTTTGTATGAATAAATGTATCCTTCACTGTGCTATCTGGAGGTTCGGATTTTGTCCCCTCCCTTTCCCTCTCCCAGGAACAGAAGAAAATGAAACAACACGCCCTCCAGTTAGTGTCAAAAAGCACAGTGAAGGATACATTTATTCATACAAACAGGCCACCATTACCGAGCATGGAAAGCTGGATAGTCATATCAGGCCTGTTTAGAGCATTCCCACCTTGGTTTGAAATTGGAAAAAGGAGACTATTCATAACTACTATTTGCAACTACAACTAATCTACAACTACTATATACACCTAACCTACTCAGGACTGGTAGCGATCACTGCTGTCAGAAATAGTGATTTTAGTGACCATGTTGAATAAATAAGTGACCAAATAGTGACTTAAATTTGTAAAAATAGTGACTAAAAAGCAGTCTTCAAGGTGCAGCA